GGCGATCCTGGTGGCGACGAAAATTGCCAGCTCTCCATCGAGTCCCTAGCTTTCGACCGAGTCTGTATTTCAGATAAGAGTGGGTTGCGTCTTGGCTCCGGAGGTGACGAAGGGGGATCATTGATGCCCTCAAGATGCAGAGCCAGACCTCGTCGAGGAGTTGGTGTTGAAGTGATGAACTCTTCGTAAGACGCTTTTCGTTCGGGGGTAGTCTCGAGATTTCTAGGTTTCTGAGGTGCAGAATCTTTGGGCTCCTCTTCAGTGGCAGCTCGTGATCTTGGCCGGGGACTGGACCGAATATCAGAATAGAGGCCAGCATTCTCCTCTTGCCGTTGACGAACTTCCATCTGTCTTTCTGTGAGATGCTGAGACTCTCCAACCAGCGGTGACGAAACAATTGGAGCAAACTGGATCTGAGAGTTGTCATGGCGGAGACGAGGGGTGGTGGTTCGTTTGGCCGACCTAGCCTTCACTGCCGACTCAGGAGTAGCATCTCTGCGACGCTTTCGTGTTAGTGGGCCTCTCGTGCTCATTGGTGTCATCGACGGTGCTGGTGAAAATGCTTTCTCGACATCTGGTCCAGGTGACTTAGCCGATGAAAGCGCCATGAAACTCAAGTCGTCTTGCGAGTCCACAAATGACTGGACCTGAGCTCCAAAGTCACCACTGGACTCTTCCATGCCAGGGTAGAGGACATCAACAGTCGGACGAAGAGAGGCTATGATTGACTTGAGACTCTCGGAGCAGTCCAGGCTCTCCTCATCCTTCACTAAAGCATTCCATGCTTCCGCCATCTTGTTTACAACATGGCGGTGTTTACTCCTGAAAGCGGCAGAAATAAGTGGCTCGATGGCGTCAAGATCCTTCTTCTCCAGTCGGCTAAGCGCCGAAAGTTGTGTGCAGATATTGTCCCAAAGGGATCGTACCTATGAGTAATTAGCATCTGTAAAATGGTGATATCATGAAACTTACTGGTTCAGAAACAGGAGAATCACTGCGCAAACTTTTATGCGCTTTTTCATCCTGAACCCAGAAAGAAAGTCCAACTTGAAGCTTCGGTAGAGTCTTTATGCCGTTTTGTGGAAAACTTGTGACGATAAAAGTGTCGACGGCTTTGAAATAAGCCGCCATTTTCTCATCTATACCCTCAGTCTCATTTTCATAGAAGAATTTCATGATTTGGCTTTGAAGCTGATAAAGATACTGGAATGGGTCGAATGAAGATGACCGTGATGCAGTTGGGGGTGCGCCCCAAAGCCGTCGTCTGGCAGCCTCGACAGCCTGGCGATCACGAGGCAGTTTTGCAGCGGTAAACAGCGCGGTTGCTACAGACAAGGCCGTTCCGTTTGACCTGTCGGAACCTTCAAAGAAGTTATCAGTAACGATCTTGGCCAGCGGCTCAATAAGACCAAGTGCTCGGCCAGCATCTCCACACTCTTGAACAATGTGATTCGATAGAAGGTCGTAAAGGGAAAACCACCGTTCCTCTGGAAGACTGGGGTGCGAAACAAGTCCTCGTTCCAGAAGAGAGACGATTTCTCGGTATTCGGGTCCCAGTAGTTTGTCACTACTCGGTGGGTGGGAGCTAGATGTAATGGTGTTCTGATCCAAAAGGGACCCGATGTTCTGAGCAGTGAGAATCCAGGGGCCGTAAGGCGAAAGAGTGTCCCGCGGCAGAAGGCGAAGCATTTCCCGCGAAAGTTCAATACGAGCTCTAGTAGGCTTGTCGTGAAAGAATGGCGCAAAGATAGACAAGAAACAGTCAGCAAGGTTGTCATCATCAGCTATGCCCGAAGGCTTGGAGCTGAGCATCGAGAAGAGGTGCAGTAGCGGAGTTTGAATCATGCCACCTGGCTTATCTGTGCGATCAAGCCGGGTCGAGGGTGTTAAAACAGGTTCAAACGTATTGGCAACAGACATAGATAGCTTCTTTTCCGTAAATGAAAGCAGGCCAAGATTGCGAACGAGGACTTCGACAAAGTGCTGGACGCTGGAAAGAAACTTTGTACCAGAGGACTCGGATTCCTCAGGGACCCCCTTGGTCCAGATGCCGGATAACAAATCAAAAGAATCAGCTATGAAACGCGCGGTCTCATCTGCCACCTTGATATCCTTTGCTGAGGCGACAGCGATGGACCCAACGAATGCTTTCCAAAGCCTGTAAGTCAAGCTTTCGGGATTAGCTAGATCAGTGAATTTTCTCTTCAAAATTGGGCTAACGAGACCAAAGACTCTTTCCGAATTTCGGCGAGTCCACCTTGAATCGATCGAGGGCAGCTCTTCGGGGCTGATTAAGGCGCTATCTCTGATGCGATCATCTTTCCAACTTCTTGGGGTAGAGACATCTAATAGTCCGGCCACGATGCGCGACGCTTGGGTTACTGAATCCGCGAGCGGCTCACTTGTACCGTCAAGACTAAGGAGTTGTCCTACAAGAGGTTGGAGAACGAGATCCCAAGCTGAGTCAATCCACTGCATATCATTGCTAGGTCGAAAGGCGTAGTAACAGAGGTTGCAGACGCCGCCCAAGACTGTTCTTCGGAGCTTCAATGCTTCTTCCGATTGCTTCGAGGTGATCTTGCGGCGCAATTGGCTTGTTAAAGGCTGTCCGAGGGGAGCCAGAGATTTGGTCACCATTTTGTTGCTAGTGATGGACAAATATACATATCTGTTCCAGGCGTGGTTGGCCTCCTGCTTGGTATGTAAATCGGCTGCGTTGAAGGAGTCCTGTGCAAGCTTGAACCATGGTGCAAAGTACACCCATCGGCTGATAGGGCATTGTAGATAAAGCGTAACGACACTCCATATCTGCGGGACGATAGATGCGTTTTCCTTTTCCTTCAACATCTCTTCGAGCTTCCGGATGTAGAACTGAATATAAGTTGTCTTGTCGTCCGGTGATTGTAGAATTTCTGTCACCTTGCGCATCACATTCTTCTCGTTTCGTAGCGCAAAGCCTGCTTCCGTTCCCAGGCTGATGGCTTGAGCTCTAATGTCTCGAACTGTACTGAGCATGTCTGTAAACATATCCTCTAGCCAGTCTGTGTAGACGGCCATGTGGATTCTAGATTGTTTTATGAGTCGCTTGTATATTTGAATGCGACCCATAATGATGCTCTTTCCAGTCAAGTGGTTTTCGATATTGTGCAAGGAAGTGATTAATCGGCCAACTCGATCAGAAGACATTACTTTGGAAGAGAAGGACTGGAAAGCAGCTACTTGCATAAGATGGCGTGCCAAATCTTTCGTGAGGGCTGGGTCAGAGAAGCATCGAATGCAATGGTCGATTATAAAGATGCCAAAGTCGGATGTAAGAGTCGATGCGATGGCGGGAAAATGCAAAAAGGTTGTTAAAAGGTTGAGGGCGTGGTTGACGAGAGAAGAATCGGCCGTTCCTTTGTCATTCTTGGATTTAACGTCGCGTTCGATGAAAGACATAAATAGGCTCATCTTCCCTTGCAGAGCAACTCTGTCAGGCAAGTTATTAGAGGCCTTGAGCGCACGAGAGAGCATCATATAAGCATCGAGCCGCAAGTCCCGGTCAGGACCAGCGAGTTGTTTTATAGTCGAGTCCAACATTTCGGCGATACTAGCTTGGTGCGAAAGGCCGTTGGGCTGACCATTGAGAGAGGATGCCAGAGGATTCGGCGACGGTGACGGCTTGAGGATACCCTTGATGGGCCTCGAGGCAGCGGCAGACGGTGTGGTGATGGGTGATGACTTGAAGAACCTTGAGGCTTCGAGATCGGGAGGATCTTTGTATTCGGTATGGCTTGACCATTCGACCTTCTTGCTTGACCGTCTTGAAGTCGAACCCGAGTTGGTTGCCCCGGTCGACGTAGGGGTATTAGCACCTGGCGGTGTCTGAAGGCTCAGTCTCGGGTCGAATGGGCGATTGGCGGAGGTCTTCATGGGATTTGTCTTATCCGTGAGGGATTCTCGAGGGGGAGTTGGAGGTCGGGCTGGAAGTTCGTCGAGAGTGGTGGAGGCCTGGGCTGAAGATGCCATGGCTGCTAGGCAGCTTCGGCGATCTAGACAGCAGTAGTTTGGCCGAAGGACCGCGAAAAACGCATATGACTGTTTATTATCGGCGATTAAAACAAACGAAACGAAACAATGGTGTATATGAACTCAATGACCGAAATGTATTAGACGAGCTGGGACATAAGAGAGAGTTTGATTTTATCAGCTGGTGGTATGCGCAGCTTTCAAGTCTGAGTCCCTGGAATCCATAAGTCGAGGAAGCATCCGTACATGAATATGGGTAAGGTAAAGTAAATGCTTGACAGGTCCGCGCTTCTGTTCTCCGGGCCAACGCGCGAGACGAACGCGATTTAGTACGTTAAAAAGCGCGATTCAATTAAAACTTTACTGCAAGGTCCGTGCCTTCTAGTAGGGGCCCCCGAATTGAGCAGTTGAGGTAGTACGTACCTACCAATCTACAGCAGCACTCTGTACCTCTCAATGCCAGAAAATATGCCCTAAAATCACAAGAGGTAAAATACTAAGTCGCTCCTTATAGATTTATAGAGTAGACTATCAGTTGACTCATTTCTATATCCTAACGCCTAGAAGTCAACTCTCCTGTTACTCCCCTGTGTCTGTATCTGAGATTTTAGGTAAGCGAGACCGCCTTTGTACCCGCTACAGATTAAGCACAGGCGCTACCGTGGCAATTACAGGTACTTGGAACTCTTCAGCTTCGAATTGGAGAGGACAGAATGACAGTAAATATTCGGCAATACCAACCGAAGATTGTCTATCTGTACCTTCCGTTTTGAGTTCAGATAGTGAGGATGGAATGAGTGATGGTGTAAATAGACTCTTTAACTGTCAGCCCTGTTCTTCTATCTTAAGTCTTCAACTAGCAATACCTACCTACCTACCTCCTACCGCTTGTTAGTGGCTCAAGTGAAATTCATACCATCCATCTTCTCCCCGCTCATCTCAAACCACACTTAAACATCATTCGTAAGCGCATACGCTGTACAACATTGATAATGGCCACTCTTCCACCTTCTGGCTTGCCCACAGGGACTGACAAGCTAGAATACATCAAGGAACTGATCAATGACCTTACTGAAGATCTCAAAGAGGAGCTATATCTCCCAGATGGTGTGTAACTCGAAAGGAGCAGATGAAACCCTGCTAATGTAAATGTTAGATCGCGCTGCAGCTTTGGACCAACTAAAAGTACTCACTCGAGACCCTACTAACGCCGATCCCCTCTACACAGAAGAGGTCCGTAAACTCCCCTGTCCTCTCCGCAGAGGACTGAATGTGGTCTTGCTGTATCGCTGACCATCTTCAACAGGGCGTTTCTATGCTCCTTCGACATGCTTATGACAAACCATCCACTAAGAGCGCTGATGCCGCACGGCGAGTGCTGGCTAATGCTATGGTGCTCAAACCCGTCACTCGGGAGATATTTGTTAACAAAGGCTTTGCTCCCAATGCCTGCCAGGGGCTTAATGGCGGTAGTTTTGATGATGAGTTCCTCAACTCTCGCATCTTGTTCCTGTCAACTTACGGTACCAACGTTGATTTGAAGAAACTCATAGATGACGAGAAGTTGGCAGGTCGCATCTCCGAGAACCTTGCTCGGCATGCAAAGGAGTCAAAGGCCAAAAGTGACCCGATGCAAGACATGGCATTGGTTGAAAGCGCCAAGCTCTTGTTCAACGTCACCCATTTCTGTCCCGACAAATCGTCTTCATTCACTTCAGCGATACCACACTTGGTGGCTTTGCTTCTCCGTCAAGACATTTCGCAGACGAAGCCGCTTGACCCACCCGTTGGGTTCATAATCAACGCCCTTGCCAACCTTGACGTAGGGTCATCAGGTTGTCAAAAGTTTATCCACCCAGAGGAAAATCCCGAAAAGGTGGTATCTCAGTTGATCAGTATCCTGGATGCCGCAATGAAGAATGTTCCTGACAATCAGCTGGACGCTACCGTAACACCACTAGTCGGTGTTATAAAGAGCATACACGAGCATGCCCCCGACTCCAGTAAGAAGTACATGCGAGAAAAGCTTTTGCCTACTGAGGAGGACCGAAAAGAAGTCCTTGGTAGGGGAGATGCATTGTCTGCCAAGCTACTTCAAAACTTCAACAATCCTTTGGCTCCATCCATCGGAACCGTTATCCAGTTCCTCCTTTATGACCTCTCGGACAATGATGCCAACAAATTTGTGGAAAATGTTGGCTACGGCTTTGCATCAGGCTTCCTTTTCCAAAACAACATACCGATCCCTCCTTCAGCTTCAGACCCTGGTTCGCAGAAACCAGTCAATCCCGTCACTGGTCAGCACGTTGATGCAGAAAAGCCTGTCGATGAGCCTGAAATGACAGAAGAGGAAAAGGAGCGGGAAGCTGAAAGACTCTTTGTTTTGTTTGAAAGGTATGATTTTACTCAAACTATCGTCTCTGCGCAAAAGACTAACCGACTCATAGATTGAAAAAGACAGGCATTGTTGATATTCAGAATCCAGTGGAGGCTGCTGTTAGGGAGGGCCGTTATAGGGAGCTCAAAGACGACGAAGTGGAGGAAATTGAATGAGCTACTTAACTACTAATTCATTCTTTCATCGACTTTTTGATGAGTTGCAAAGTAGTTTGTTCTGTTTATAAACCAATTGTAGATAAACCAACTGAACCCTATAGATTAATGAAGACAAAGACGAAAGTTGGTGTTTGATGAATTAGCATGGCAATAATGCTTTCGCGGCTGCCTTCAGAAACAAAGCTGGCTTAATCTAAATCACGGTACTGATTCGTGACAAAACAGGCAGACGGTGTTTACTGGCCCTCTTGAAAATAAATGCATTGAGAGCCACCTCAACATCACCGGAGTTTTTCTCGTAGATTGCACATCAACTCACTTCATCCAACACAAGCGGCAGGCGTGTCTATGATCTCCTCTACTGTTTATTACCTACCTCTTTGACTATATTATTCGACACCCCACGACCACTTTTCTTGTTTTAAACACTTTACGCTGCTTTAGCATCAACAAGTTGCTACTATCCGCATACCACTTTATTTCATTTATTGCCTTTCACACAGGGCAGGCTCTGTGTCTTATTCATCCTTACGTTTGCGCATCGAGGTTCAAACAAAGGCGCATTCGTACTTGAATTTCTGTCAGCGGTTATAACAAGTCTTCCTTCAGTACCCAGAGAGCTAATGATCATAGGCTCAAGGCTTGCTCTACGATACCAGCAACGACCGTTGATCCTCTCACAAGAGCATCCTCACAATCAGATCCGGACAAACACACAACATCTCCTATCTTTTTTACCTTATCCTTGCCTTCGCTACTCGGCAAGCTGCCTGCTCCCAAGCGTACGCCTACTGTTTTCTATGCTCGCGATAAGTCGCCGCTGGGAGAGTCTAACGAGTATGTATTGATTGACCTTCTGTTCAAGAGCACAATGTACTAATCTTGAAATATTATCAGTCCTCTCGAGAGCATTGAGGCCGATGAGCCGCCTCTGGTGAACATTGAATCCGACATCATTGGATATGAGAGAAACGGCGAAGAATCTGTCACTCCTCCACTTGATGATGATATAGAGATGACCGCACCTGAAAAACGGTCCCTCTCGCCGGAAGAGGAGGTTCCTGGTGAGCCCCCAAAGAGAAAGGCCGGTCGTCCGCCCAAGCGCCGCCATCGCGCTGACGTGAATGAGGATGCTCCTCCAAGGCGCTCACAGCGAGTCGCCTCCGTTGCTTCTTCAGTCGATGAGGAGGATTCCAAGCCAGCCAAGACCCTAGCGAAGCGAGGCCGTGGACGCCCTCCCAAGAAGAAGAAAGCCGCAGCTATTGAGGTCCCACGAGCCAGCACTCCTGCGAAGAGACGATCTGATCGTATTATTGCTAAGCCTAAGGCGGCTGATGTTGATTCTGAGATCGAATGGGAGGTAGAAAAGATTTTGGTTTCAGGAATTGACGGTCCTACTGGTGTGCATCTTTACCTGGTCAAGTGGAAGGGGTTTTCTAACAAAGAGAACACATGGGAGCCAAAGAAGAATTTGGGCAACTGCCACAATCTCCTTGAGGAGTTTGAAAAGAAGCATTAGGGGGTGGGGGGCGAAGGCCATTAGGGGTGGGAGAATGACTGCATTTGAGGATATTGCGAGCTGGGACAGAGACACGACTGGACACATTAGCACTAAGTTCGTATTATTCATGAAGCGTATCGAAATGTCATCTTAAATTCCTGCTTCCTCTTTCTGATGCGATTACAGAGACTGAAATAATGTTGAGAAGCCAGCAACAGCTCCAGCTAGTGGAATCAAGCTTCGCACCAGATTCAAAAATCCCCATCTCCCGATCAATTTGGCCACATCCTCCTGTGAAGCCTCCAAGGTCCCGGCCGCCGCCTTGAACAAGAGCTCGTTTGTCGATTTCATGAAGAGAATTGTGAATGGAATAATAGAGACCGTCGAAACTGCACCGACGACCAATCCTTTCCAGGCATGGCCTTGTTTTTGGGCTGTGTATGCTGCGTAGAAATAGGCCGCGGTTGTTGTTACAGCAAACTTGGGCATGAGAGCGAAACCGCGGTTGAAGAGTTCGTGCCATACGATTGTGCTGGAGGGTGCTGGAAGTTGGAGAGCGGCTGGAATGCCAGCAAGAGATAGAGAGGCTATGAAGCCTGTTGGTTGTTATGAGTATGGGCAATGTACGAGATGAGATCATGGTTATCTTACCTGAAGCCCAAACCGAGCCTGCGATACCCGTGGCTGAGGCCAGAAGTGATGGGAGGGGGATTGAAACTGGCATTGTGATATTTGATGTTTTGTTTAATTGACGAGTTTGGATGTATGTTGGACTTGTCAGTTGATTGATTAGAGAATTGAATATCATAACGTTGGGTGCTTTAGCCTCTATAAATAATGACGACTATCATAAAGTTTAGATAGTAGTGTAAGTACTTGACAAAATAGACCTTTCCAGAGTCCAAGAGAGTCTAGAGCCTCTTGTCCGAATTATTGTTTCATTATCGCCGGATCAAAAGTGGAACTCGTCCGGACTGGAAACTATCACGGACTTCTGAAATGTCCGATCACGGCCGATCAAATCATCAGCATCCGATCGGTTAGAGGCCGATTGGTCAATATGGGTATTGTATAGCCCATTTCGGTCGTTGACTCACTGCGAGTTACCAACTTTTCCCTTGCGCGCGAAAAAACCATGTATGATGGTTCCCTCGAGGTGGCCCTTAGCATCAGGTTCCGTCCATGATGAAGCAAACTCCATCCCAGACTTCTTGAGGACATTTTGGCTGGCAACATGGTCACCTAACGTCATGGCCGAGATGCACTCGTCTTGGACCTCACTATCGCCCAGGGTGGTATTCTTATCCACCGAGATTTCAACCTCATTCCTTGGCAACGACCACCAATGATCGAGATAGCCTTTGACAAACTCGGAAGCGTAACCCTTGCCCCAATGCGCCTTTAAGAACTGATATCCTATGGCCGGCCAGCCAAGTTCAGCGGACCACACACAAGAACCTCCCATTCCAACAAACTCGCCAGTCTCGGTGAGGTAGATAAGCCAGTCGTAACCTTTGACATCGTTTGGAGGTAGACGACGATCGAGACTCTTTTGTGTTTCTTCCATCTCTATATCAGGGCGACCTTGGGTTGACCAGATCATGCCTTCGGGTTCTGTACGAACAGCACGGACATATTTGAAGTCGTCCTGCGTCATGTGTCGCATTGTCAACCGTTCTGTCTGGAATGGTTTTCGCTCGCTATTAGGAGGGAGAGGATAGACGGGAAGTGTTGTCTTGATCTTGACATAGTCAAGGGGTGGTTTTGGGAGGGGATCCATTGCCATTGTTGTTACAGGGTAAGATGAGCGCGAAATGCGAAGTGAGTGAAAGTAAGCGAGTGTAGGTAATTGATTGAGATCGCTATAATTGTTTGTCTTTTATACTACTGTGTCTCCGAAGTTGTCAACACGGAAGGAAAGGCAATGAGTCACGGACCTGTTTTCTCTGCTGAGTATGAGTCGGATGAATATCCATCAGCACTTACGAAGCGCAGGAACGTTACTACAAAAGTTCCACCTGCCTAGTACCCCAGCTACAGCATCAAATTTTGCAAATGAACGATAACAAATGCTTTAGTGAGTCAAAGACCCTTGACAAGATAAAAATGATTAAACAAGGTTAGCTTCAGCCCTAGGAGTGAATCCTTCACATGCCTGAAAGTTAATAGGCACAAAAACAAAGACACAGGCAACCCAGGCCAGGTAAAGACAGATACGACCTGGGTAAGATCGATTTGGGCGTAAAGTCGACCCCCAAAAATCGAGACGTCACGACCTAATAAATCGACATGGGGTGGGGCTGTTTCCCGGCACTTCTGTTCGTTGAAGACAGTCTTTATTAAACTCTATGAGCCCCAACGGCGAGATCATCTCATCAAAGAAGAGTTGACTCTTTTCGCAACCGTTTAACGTTAGAAACCTTACCTAGTTACGTGTCGCTCACATCTGCTCAGGTGCTCAATATGAGTACCCGCGAAGGCCGCCCGGCCAAAGTACTCAGTTGCTCCAATTGTCGCACACGCAAAATAAAATGCGACAAGATACAACCGTTTTGCGGTCAATGTTCTCGATTTGGCCTCGATTGTGTATTTCCTTCGAGAAAACCAACTAGGCGTGCGCCAAGGCCGCGTCAAAGTGAACTCCTTGATAGGATCAGTCGTCTTGAAAACATCGTCAACCAGGCTGACCCTGCCAAGCTGAAGCAGTTGGATGAGGAGGATATCAACCCGCAACCTGGCACAACTTCACTGGCCGCCACTTTGAACGATCACTGTGACGAGTCACAGGCTGCGGGTGCTCAAGCTGCCAATGCAGAAGTCAGCGAGCAGTATCTCAGCTCAGGATTCTGGGGACACTTGTGTGCTGAGGTGGAAGGTATTCGACAAGCGTTGAATCAGCCATCTGAGGAGGATGACGACGATGAAGAGGGCGAGAGCCCAGAGTCCATGGATATGCACTCATCAGCTCCATCTGGCTACTTGCTTGGAAATTCCAACTACAGCTCGCGACAACCATTGGCACACCCTCATCCGAATATGATGATACGGCTCTGGACAATTTACTCGCGCAACGTTGATCCTCTCATGAAAATCATACACCGTCCAACCATGAATAGATATTTCCAAGCCTATATTGAATCACCAACGACACATCGGTTCACTCCAGAGATCAACGCCGTCATGTTTGCCATATACTTTTGCGCAGCTGCTTGCCTGACACCAGAATCTTGTTTCAAGCAGCTAGGAGAGAGCAAGGAGGTCATTACAAAGCGATACCGCGTGGCTGTGGAACGAGCGCTCGCAGAAGCAGATTATCTCAGTACTACCAAGCTCGAAACTCTGCAAGCCTTGACGCTTTACACCAGCATGATGCGTGTGCATTTACACGACCGGACGTCCTGGGTTCTCACATCACTTGTTGTCCGCATCGCCCAAGGTCTAAACCTACACCGGGACGGCGACGGCCACCGTTTCACACCGTTTGTGGCTGAAATGAGAAGACGTTTGTGGCATTTCATTGTTGTTATCGACATACGTGGCTCCGAAGATAGAGGTTCAGACTCAACGCTTGTTCGATCGAGCTGGGACACGGCAGATCCTACGCCGATCGACGACGTCGACTTTGGTCCTGACTCACCAGGACCTCTAATCCCCAAGACGACACCTGCCGACAACGTCGTCTGCATGTGTACAGCTATGTGCTCAAGCATCTTTGGCTTCTTGTCGCACCCACAGTACAGTGCCAAAGGCGAACCCGAGCACTTCTTGTATACAGAAGATGAGCTCATATCTCACATCCGTCGACTGGAAAACACCTTCATCCATACTGCTAGACCCTCTCATCTTCCTTCTCTTTACGCATCCGAGATCGCCCGTATTGTTATTCTCAAGCTTTGGTTGAACATACAGTATCCGTTCAATGGAGGACCGGCGCCGGACCGACCTCGTGTATCGAAAGAAACTATGCTACGTACGGCAATATCTATCATTGAGCTACGCGAGCGTATGACCAAGAGTCAATGGGAGGACCGCTTCGCTTGGTGGTCAGACACATATGTGCAGTGGCATCCTTTGGCAGTTGCGTTGGCTGAACTTTGCGTACAGACTGAGGGTGAGTTGGTGGAAAAGGCCTGGGCGGTTGTCGAGAGAACATTTCCTTCGTCACGCGAACACATCGCCGACACAGCCAAAGGCTCGCTTTGGCGACCTATCAAGAAGTTGCTGAAGAAAGCAAGAGCCGCGAGGACTGAAGCGCTGCTGAAGCGAATGGATCTCAACGGCAGCTTGAATCTGGACCCCGCGACTTTTATGCCCTCAGCCATGGATATGCCTCAACAGTTACAGTTCGATCCGACCCAGCAGATGACAGACATCCCAGTGTCTGGACCAGGCCTAACACAACAGTACGACACAAGCAGTATGAATCCTTCAATACTGTTCGATCCACCAGAAGTGTTGAATCTTGACTTTGGAATGGGATTGGAGCAAGGTGTGCCTATGGAGTGGTCATATTGGACAGAGTTTTTCAATGATACACAAATAGAGACATCTCCAGGAGGAGGAAGCGGGACAGGGGAGTCGTCGTAACAGTTCACAATCGGTAGTCATTGCTAGTTTATAAACCCAATCAATTGTGCATCACACCGGCCAGCATCCTGTATGCTCAGAATTTTTTGGTTCATTCATTGCCCATTTTATTGAGCAAAGTCAGTTGATATTTCCATGATCCCGTTTAACACCCGCAGAGCCTAACCATCCTCTAAACCGAAATCATTTAAGCGAAAGTGGAAGGTCGCTTCGCGCTGAAGAGCTTCTGGGTGTTCTCCTTGGTGACACGGTGGGGGAGGGGGAAGCTCAGGTTCTTCTGGGTGAGCTGGCGGATGTAAGGTCGCTTGATGTCCTCGGTCTTCTCAATCTCGACGACGCGGAGGATCTAAGTAGTCATGTTAGTAATTGCGACGCGGAGTGTGCGGCTAGAAGTGAGTTCGACGTACGTGGATGGACCTGAAGCGAGCACGGTGGCGGGCGGCCATGTCGGAGTAAAGGGACTCGACGGCATCTGTTCGGGACAGCTCACGGTACTCCTTGTACATGTTGTGCGTGCCGGAACGAGAGTCGTATCGGATCCAGATACCGAAGTTCTTGACCTTGAGGGGGTGCTTCTCGTGGACCTACAATATCCAAGTTAGCCTGGTGCGCTGGTTTCGTCGAGTTGAGATTTGCTATTACGTACCGACTTGACGCTGACGATCTCACCAGTGGCCTTCTTGACCTTCTTGAGACCGCGCAAGAAGTACCAGTATCGGGACTTAGCGACCGTCTCGTTAGGGGCGAAGATAGTCATGCGGTAGAGGGCGGGTGTAGGGTCAGCCTCGGTGGGCAAGTGGCGCCCGATGACCTCGTATTCCTGAAGACGGCCTGAATACATGGTCAGTATGTGAAGTTCCTGATGCTAATTGATCTGATGCCGCAAGCCGGAGGATAAATGTCGAATTTCGAAAGCGTGCTGTGTGTGGTGGGTAGGTCGAAATCTTTATGCCGAAATTCCAAACTAGGTTTCCGTGCCAAAAATTGCTAGACCCCGCTTCAACGAGCAATCGAAAGCTGGGCGAGCGAATATCGAGGTTGCTGTGGTCCTTGATCCTTCGTCCTCGCTCCCCTCCTAATCGAGTTGAAGAAATATCGAAATTGTTTTTTTTCTTTTCGTCGTCTTTATCCTCCGGCGGGCGACATCGTTATGATCGAGCGCATAAAACAGAAAATTGCTTACCCATCTGTAATGCTGGTTAGTGATTTCCCTTGGTATGAGTCTGTATTGTCGACTTACTGTGACGTTGGTCAATTCCGACTGCGAAGGTTAGTGAAGATGACCGAAGTTGAAAGATCCCAAGCGATAAATTTTTGTGCGAAGGTGAGAGGGCAAGAGACTGGGTCGTAGCTTCCTGGAGGGCTTAGGCCCCAACAGCGATTGGTCGATTTAGTCCCACTTCAACCGAGCGTCACGTGCATCCGATACCAGAAGTCGCCAAGACAGGTGGGTCGTACGACCAATCAGAAATGCTAACAAGAACTCAAAGAAGTTGTGATGGGAAGGACGTGCGTGAGTGAAGGTGACTTCAACGATTGAGTGAGGCTGGTAACGACTTGATTGACTACAACTTTGGCATTCCACCAGCACATTTCAGAAACTGATGCTGCGTTGACCTACTACAGATATCACACGCTTTTTTTTTTTTATCTCGGATTTTACTGTCAATACTTAAGATTAATTGCGGCTGAATCTCTCACTCAAAGACCAACGCGTGCCTAATACCAATAACTATGAACACTACTTTCCAACAGTTCGCCGAGGCTCACTCACTACGCAATGGCTATAAACTTGCGCAAACACTCTCGCCTGTTCCTCCAGCAGATGACCCTCAGAGACTGATGGCTGTATGGCGTAGCACGAATTCTCACAGTGTCAAAGGCGACATCAAACACTTTATCAAGTCCAGCACAGCGCATAAACGGAAACTAGACCATGATGAGACAACAGGCTGGGTTGAGGTATACACTTCATACTGGAAAGCTGTTTCTGAGATCCTAGCAGGGGAAAGCGGAAAGGTAAGAAACTGAGTCGGCTGTGAGACCCCTACTAATTCAGAACGTAGTCTACATGGACGAAAGTGTACGAGGCATGGAAGGAACTGACCTCAGTACTCATCCGCGGATACAACTCTCATGGATTCGAAGCATGGACTATTCCATCTCTTTACATGGTGGGCAAGTACCTGCGGTTATTTGCAATTAAATCCGATGAGGAGCGTCGAGCCAAAGCCTTTGATAATGGCCCTGGAGCTTCGTTGATATCGGACGATTTCGATCCTGAAACAGATAAACAACTTCAACTGAGGGACTGTGAAGGTCATCTCAAGCGTATTTTCTCACTATGTTTGAATGATAGGTATGTTTCTTCTTTCCCTGGGTAAATGCACTATGACTGATTAGAATTACAATCAGAGCGCCACTCGAAGAATCACGAAAATGGGGAATCTACTTTATCATCAATCTCCTTTTCAAGACTTACTTTAAGTTAAATTCGGCCTCTCTGTCAAGAACCATTCTCAAGACGCTGGCCGTTTACAATGACAAAGGAGACATGCCACCACTGGACATGTTCCCCAAATCTCAGCGAGTGACCTTTAAGTTCTACGAGGGTGTCCTTCTCTTCTTGGAGGAGAACTACATCAAGGTCAGCATATTTTTTACTCATTGACGGACCAATCTAACATCATTTCAGGCTGAATCACACCTGAACGAAGCATGGCAATTGTGCCATAAAGACGCTCACGCACAATCTGAGTGAGTACAAATCACTGCCGTCTGACGATGTTTACTGATTTGATGATAGGCGAATCCTTACCTACCTCATTCCCTGTCGTCTTCTCACCAGCCATGTCCTTCCTACTGAAGCCCTTCTTGAGAATTACCCACGACTCCAGGACCTCTTCCTCCCCCTAGCTACATGTATCAAGACTGGCAACCTACAGGCTTTCGACCAGGCACTACAGCGCGGGGAAGCTGAGTTTGTCAAGCGACGTATTTACCTAACCCTCGAGAGAGGTCGAGATATTGCCTTGCGTAACCTGCTACGTAAGGTCTTCATCGCTGGCGGGTTTGATGAATCGAAAGAGGTAGACGCAGCCCCGGTCCGTCGTACCAGAATTCCTGTAGCAGAGTTTCAAGCTGCCATTAGTATGGGCAGTGGTCATTTGGTTGATCCGGATGAGGTCGAGTGCTTGCTGGCCAATATGATTTACAAGGTAAGTTATCATCTCCCTTTTGCTCGACAAGGCGCTGGCTGTCCCTTGAGCCGGTAGTATTTCTTTGGTTGAAAATACGAAAGTGTTTGTTTGGGCATCCGCGTGGCAGTCATTTGACTATGTACTCGTCACCAAAATGTTACAATAAGTAATTGCCTGCCTGGGGCATCCACTATACATACTCACACTCCCCTCCATTGCCGCCTTACAAACATCTGAGTCACTAACATGCCTGCTTCTTTAGGATCTTATGAAAGGCTATATCGCACGGGAACGAGGTATCGTGGTGTTATCTAAAAAGGGAGCCTTCCCCGGGACGGGACTGTGATGTGAGGTTATCGAGGGACGTTATTGGGCGAGAGACATGGTCCGACAAGCGTGAAAGCTTAGCATCGTTTCTTGACACTGACTATTGCTACGATGGAATCACTTTAGTAGCCAGTGGATAGATTCGCAACCGTCAGAATGACGCCTACGTCGGCAAATCATGAATCAGTTTCCACGATATCTATTATATTTGCTTCTGTAGTCAAAGCTCAGAAATGAGCCCACTCGGCATCTTTACTTATTGGCGTTGTTTCGCACCATATTCACGACGAAGCACAGAAGCGTGCACCGCCCTTGCATCTTGCGGTTTCGCAGCTGCACCTCATGCTTCTCTGCCCCCAACTGTTGATACGTTGCAAACAAGCCTGGACCTGCAGGTATTTGTTTACTTTTGATGGCGTTTTGAGATTCTTAGACTAGTTTTTCTGTCGAATCCGAAGTCATGTTGATACCCCCGCGGTGCACGCTTGTAGTTTGCATGGTTCGCTTCCTTTCACTCGCATGTTTTAGATCGCACCTTATCCTCCAACGTGAATCACTACCGGGGATCTCTTCCGTTGTGAGTAACCTAGTGACACATGTTACAGGGTGTGATTGGACACACCTGATAAACCTTGTGGGGTTGAGTTTGCTGTTTTATCGGGAACTTTTGGTTCTCACTCAATTTACGATACCGGGAAAGGCGTAGTTTTAAGACATGAAGTTTATTTGAGAGATCGCTCTTTTTGAAATAGCTCGTCCAAAAGAGCGCCGTGAATAATAATACAATTTTTAATCCAGCTGTCACAGACGACAATCTTGGTATCCTTAATCCGAAGTCGTCGTGAAAAATAGCAATCAACCCAACTGGCTCTCTTTCAGCGAGACCATGTATCCAAAAAATCCCATGCATCAAGAAAAGGAGCCCTCTAGGGGCTAGTAAGAAGGGTATTCATACAAAAAGAAATTTGACACCAGATTAAAACCGTTGAAACGCCGTGAATAAGCAAGTAGAACCCCAAACTCCAAACGCAGGTATTCTCTTTAGTTTTATGGTATCGGCCAACCCTATGAAGCCAGCATCTCGTGTTAGGAAAGGGGAAGGGAAATCGTGTTTCATTAAATTCAAACAAAAGAAAAGAATAAAAGGCCACGTGTTGAGAGGATGGGTATTAGGAGAAGTGGCGGTTTGAGCGAGGAGTGTTTCTATAGCCTGTTAGTTTTGATGGTCAAGGTTTAACATTAAGGCCTAAACTCACTGTGCAGTCGAGATGTCGTCGACGTGGTTGCAGAGAGCGACAAAAAGATCAAAGAAGAGTTGAGTGCCGCCGTTATACATCTCTAGTTGCATAGTTCCACTTCTCTTGAAGGTGCTGCGTGAGCGAATAATGAGAGCGAGATAGTGAGCCCGGAGCTTCGAGTCTGTGTCAGGAGTGTTGGCGTAGGCGTATCTGGCTGAGGCCAGGATAGTGCTACACTGGATTCCAGATTCTGCGAATACTTGTAAGTAAGAGAATGAAAACGCGAGAAGAGGGAAACATACGAAGCCCCTGCTTTCGCAGTGATAGCTTCTTGAGCTCATCGAGGCCATATTTTTCCGCTGCACAGTAGATGACAGTGTCCTTGAGAAGATCACCGTCGATACCACGATGGTACACAGTGCTCTCAACAGCAGCACGCTGTTCTTCACTTGCCGCCTCGAGTTCATAAGAGTTTCGACGCTTGTTGTGAACGAGACGAGGAGTGTAGTCACCCTTATACAAGAACTCAAGAACAGAGCTAAAGATCTCGGGCTCTTCGTCGGGTAGAGAAATACGTTTGCTGGCAGCGTCCATGTATCCATTTCGTAGAGCGTGGTTGAAGAAAGGACTGTTGGAGAGAACGTCTTCGTGGGCGGCAAAGAGACGTTGTTCGCTACCGACGACAAGAGTGACGATAGGTGAAGCCATGTTGCTGAAGTTTTGTAAGAAATTGTTACTTAGATGGATGATGGCAGTATACTTACTCTCCCATCGTGGTATCGCCGCTGTTGCTGGTCATGGAAGTCATGGTTGGTCGGCGTTGATGACGAGACTCATGTTTTCGCTTAGAAATGCCACTATCTTTGCTGAATGAAGCGCTGGATTTGCTGGCCTTGTGACCTTTTGAGAAGCTCTTGGTTGAGCTCTCGTGTCGCCTGGAAGTGGAGAACATGTTGACTGGTCGTAAAGAAGATTTCGAATAAAAAGTCGAAATTTTTTATTATTAAAATGATAGGATTGTTTGTTGCTTTTATACTTGCTGGCTGATAACGTGGTGGGTGGCAGAGCAGGCAGAGATGGAACGAGGCAACAATAAAAAGAATGAGGCAGACGATGATGATAGAACGCCGGAAGAAGATCGCCTCGGATAAAAATTGAAACCTACCTCAGGTTCAAATAGTGATTTTTTTTTAATTTGAAAAAGTGACCACTCTTCTGATTCGTCTCAGGATACGAGGAAAAGCCTACAGAATGGGAGAAATAGGAGCATCTTTATAACCTACGAGGCTTGCCCCGTGCGACTATGGGCTGCCTGATGTAGAGATACCCCCGCTGATAGAACATCCCTAATCATCCTCTGCATGAAGGCGAGTCAGCCCTTGTTTGGTCTTGGTGATAAGTCGTAACCCGACGCGCATGCCAATGGGTGTACGCGTAGGGGGAGGGGCGCGATATTGGCACGGGTGCACGTGATCCTCAACTAGGCATTTTAATTGACTCCAGGCGTTTGTCGTTGGAACTTTACAGGGAATGTCCAGGGATCGGATGAGAGGTGGGAGTCACAAAAAGGGGCTGGGACAAAAAGAAACAAGAACATGGACCGAACAAGTAAGGGGCCCTTGTTAGTGAGTTTGACTTATGCCTCTTTAATTGAAGCCTCAACGCCGTTGTACACGGTACGTGACAAATTACAGCGGGCGAAGAGCGCCATGGTTCGCCTCTGCAATTAGCAACTGTGGGGCTCTACGTTCTGAAATGGGTCCTCTCAAGGCAGAAGCCTTCAAGCTCATGAGACTGCATGATAACGCATGCTCGATGATGGAGCTGCAAAGCCCTGGAATAATGGCCGAGCCTCGTCATTTTTTGCATCATTCGAATCGCAAGCTTCAGTATATTCAATTGGCTTCAATTGAGACTCGTATCAAGATGCGTCAATCATGCATGGCTGATGAAGCTTTCAGCCATGTATCTAATCCTCACGACTTCACATCATGGCTTCTCGCCTCCGAGCACTCTCAACCGCAAACAACTTTTTTTCCCTTTTCCCCCATGCTTCTTTAATTGATAGTGGGCCATCTAGCCTTGTTCCATGGTCTGTGGGTATGGTTTAGCAAGGGGCACCAAGGTAAGGTACCTGGCATAGCTCTCCCAACACCTCCACCCTCGGTACAGTCTGCTGGGTTTTAGTGACCCTCTAGTTCAAGTCTGGGATGAGATTTGAGGGCATCGACGGTGACATTGCCCGTTATACGGGATCAGTTCCTTGAGTGTGACGGCATTTGGCAGTCACACACACTGTACATCCTTGTACATCCACGCCTGCAGATGACCGACAAGTTCCGAATTCACGCCAAAAAAGAATTTGAGACGACGTTACTCGCCCCTCTGGCTGACCAGTTTCAAGCCAATTCCTTCCTTCCTTGCAGTATTCGAAGCTGCCCCCTTTCTCGCCCCTCATATCGCCGTGCCTGTGTAACAGCCGTGACGATGGAGTGCGCGAGTGCTTGTTTGCCCGCTACTCTCACCATGGCTTCATTGTGCAGTGCCCCGCGTACCTTTTGTCGCTCCACCGGAAGCCCAACCCGTTGGCATCGCTGGAACAGCTCCTCGCCGTGATTGGCAGGCACAAGCTCATCCTTTCCCGCTTCTACGATGAATATCCCGGGCGGCGTGCCTGGAAATCTCTTGGCTATCATGCCGAGGTTGGTCCAGCTATCCAGATGGTTTCGGAGAAATGGCCAAAGATATTGGTACGGGAGCCAGGTCTGTGGATATAACGCTTGGAGCATAGCTCGAACATTTGTGAATGGTGTTTCGAGTATGAGACCACCTATTGTCAGATTATGAGGGAATTCGCCTTTGGCAGCTAGATTGGTCGCAAAGCCACAACCAATGCTCTGCCCCCAGAGAAGCACTGTTGGCTTTGTTCCGTCACCTTTCTCCGACTTGCTCTCATGTAGTTCAGCTATCCATTGCAGCGCTGCCTGTGAATCAAGGTCTATTCCTGACTCTGAAGGTCGATCATGAGACGTCCAGAAGCCTCGGTAACTCAGGCCAACAATAGTATACTGGATCGACGGATCACTCTCGTGAGCTCGACGCATTATCCAGGAAAGATCTGGCAGTCTGGGTGGTAGCGACGATGCATTTCCTATGGTCCTTGGTAAGCTACCATAAGACGCGACCAACGGGATTGGCTAACCTTGAAAGTAAAGGATGTAGATGGGAGTCTTTGTCTTGGCCTTGGCAGGACTTGGTACAGATACTGACGGTACATCTGCTACACACAAAGCAATCTCAGTACCGTCCAGAGACTTGATCCTCTCTTCCCTCCACTTTAGACGTCCACAGTTACGGGAAACCTCATCAATGGTCATACTGCGCGCATTGGGCGGCAAAAATGGATTGTAGATAATGGTATTCTGGAACAAGACCATCATTGCACACTTCCAGCACCATAATCCCACGAATAAGCCAGTGAACAGCAGCGGCGGCATGAGAAAAGGCGCAACATGCAAGGGTCTCATGCAGCCTGGCGAAGGCCTCAAGAATGCAAGTCTCTCTGCGTTGGAGCGGATACGCGGCCTTATTCCTACGCAAGCAGTTCGAAGGCGCGGGAATGCGACGGCGACAGTGCGCAAGGTCATTGCATCACATGGCATTTGTGGTCGACGATGGAAGAAAAAAACACCTGACAAGGGATATAGAAATGTGGGATGCTGTAGTTAGGCACAAGGGGTACAGGGTTTATGACATGTTCGCTTGTCACTGGATCTGAAAGGGATGCAAGTGTGCGGATTGGGGATGTGATAGTCGAAGAAGATGATGGAGGGACAGGTAATGGACTTGATGGTTGATGTCTTTATCAGCACATATCTAGTCTACCTAAATACATGCGGGTATAAGACAGACGGGTCTTTCTTTGTCAAAACCCTCACCGATTTAATTGAGCCTTTTTACTGATATTCTTTAACCTCCAACAAAATATCAAAGCAATTGTCTGATCAATTGTCTCATGTGTTCCGTGGTGTGATTGCTGATATCATAGCGATACAGTTACAACGATCAACATTTCTGCCCCACCAAATTATCTTGTTTCAGCCACCTCAGGAACCAACTCAACCTAAACGGTCCATACTCGTTGCCTTTTACCGTGCATTAATTTCTCAGCTTTTAATCAGCAATTTCCACCTCTACCTGGCTTATTAGTCCATCAGTTTTCTTCACATTTTTCTATCAACCTTGTCCTTCACGTCGCCTAACCACTCCCACTAAGTTACTGGTCGTAAAAGTCGCTTACAAACTTGCATCTGCCCCGCCATCCATTACTCTAGTACCGACCCTTCAATATCTACCTTGATACCTACATCATCGCCCACTTCGTCTCTTGTTTTGACAAAACCCCACCAAATATAAACTCGCAACCATGCCTGCCTCCGACAAAGATAACGACGTTCATGCCCACATTGAAATCCCCGAGGGCGATGATCAGCCATCTCCGCGCGCAGATGGCGACTCCAGCCCTGGCCTCAGGAACAGCAAGGGCTGGGACGGCAAGCTTCGCGTCCCAAAGTCACTGTCCATGGCAAACCCTGAGGCTTTGACCGACTCCGAGTACTCTGATGAAGAGAATATTATGAAGGGGGAGAAGATTGACGCTGATGAGGGTATGTTCATTTTTTTCATAGGCAGCAATGAGATACTGACCAATAATCCTGAGCAGACCTTCTCGACGATGAAGACCCCGAGACTGACGAAATCATGTGTTCTCACTCTCGTATCGCCTCAATTTCCTCCTTGCGCCTCGAGCGCTTCAAGAATGTCTCGAGAGTCTGCCTCCGCCAGAACAGTATCGAGCAGATCGACGGCCTTTCCGCCCTCGCCGAAACCCTTGAAGACCTTGACCTCTACGATAACCTCATCTCTCACATCCGCGGCTTGGACGAGTTGACGAACCTTACGAGTCTCGACCTGAGTTTCAACAAGATCAAGCATGTCAAGCATATCAACCATTTGACGAAACTCAAGGAATTATACCTTGTCGCCAACAAGATCAGTAAAATCGAGGGGCTGGAGGGGCTCGACAAGTTAACGTCTCTTGAGCTCGGATCGAACCGTATTCGCGAAATCAAGAATCTCGATTCTCTGAAGGCGATCGAGGAGCTCTGGCTAGCAAAGAACAAAATTACTGAGCTCACTGGTCTCGGTGGCATGCCTAATCTGCGCCTCCTCAGTATTCAGTCCAACCGTATAAGCGATCTGTCGCCACTCAAGGATGTTCCTACGCTTGAGGAGCTTTATATCTCACACAATATGCTGGAGTCACTGGAGGGTCTAGAGCACAACCCCAAACTGCATGTGCTAGATATTTCGAATAACAAGATCACTAGTATCAAGGGTCTTGAGTTGCTTTCAGAGCTGGAGGAGCTGTGGGCCAGCTACAACCTTATCGGCGACTACAAGGAGGTGGCCAAGTATCTCGCCGACAAGAAGAGCTTGACAACAGTGTACTTTGAGGGGAACCCGCTGCAACTGCAGGAGCCGGTGGCATATAGGAACAGGATCCGTTTAACATTACGACAGGTCAAACAGATTGATGCCAGTAAGTTCGCCCCTAGAGAGCGCACCAAAGTGTGGCTTAACTAACTCGTCTTGTAGCTTTTGTGAGAACATAAGAATTCAATTTCGGAAGGCATCAACATAGAAAGCAAGGCGTTTAGGGAAGGAGTTTTGTTTATCTATACTCGAAGACGGTATCAACGGAGCATAGAAATACATGATTCGATCAAAACCAGTTGACTTGATTCGCTTGCCAGACGGGTTTTGTCCTCGAGATGTTGAGCATTGAGTACCACATGCTAACTTCATGTCTCGACATCACAGATGAAGTCATTTGTCAAAACGACGCACATCTCATACAGCATTGTGTGGAAGGGTTAACTGTCTTTTGTATTCTATGAAAGCGGTTCTACAAAATGCAGCCCATCGTCATTTAACGCCTGATATCCCAATAATTGTCATGTTCCTATGCTTCTTTCTTTTTACTCATCAAATTTCATATTATTTAACCAAAGATCCAGAGCTTGTCAGAGGGGAAGTACTGCAAGAAGAGTCAGCATTGGCACTTGGATGTGTTTAGAAGCAAAGTGAGAACTTACGTTGGTAGGCTTGTTGAACTTGAGGTTGAGGTTCATCTTGGAGATGCGCTTCATGTCCTCCTCTTCGATGCTCCAGTCGAAGCAGTCAAAGTTCTGCTCCATGTACTGGGGAGTGGTGCTCTTGGGGATGACAGCAAGACCCTGCTGAGTGGCCCATCGGAGAAGGACTTGAGCGGAAGTCTTGTTGTACTTGCTGCCAAGGCTAGTGAAAACCTCGTGCTGCATGAGAGGAGAGGCAGACTTGGCAATGTCCATGTCGAGCTCTATGAAGCCGGTAGGACCGAAAGAGGAGTAGGCAGTCAGAGCAATACCCTCAGCCTTGGCGAGGCTGACAAGCTCAGCCTGCTGGTGGTAGGGGTGAAGCTCAACCTGGAGGGTAGCAGGGCGGATCTTGGCGTACTTGAGCAGGTCGTAGATGGCCTGAGCCTGGAAGTTGGAGATACCAATGGACTTGGCGAGACCCTTCTCAACGAGGTTCTCCATACCCTCCCAGGTCTCCTGGTTGGTGGCCTTGCTCCAGCGGACCTCGGTGCCGGCGTCATCGTAGTGCCAGCCAGGGGGGTAGCGGACCTCGGGGTCAACGTACTCGAGGGCGACGGGGAAGTGGATGAGGAAAAGATCAAAGTAGTCGATCTGCCAGTCGGCGAGCTGGCGGCGGGTAATGGGCTCGACGTTCTCCTTGTCGTGGTAAGTCTGCCAGAGCTTGGAGACGATGAAGAGGTCCTCTCGCTTCACAATGCCCTCCTTGATGGCGCGGGCGACACCCTCACCACAAGCCTTCTCATTGCCGTAGTCTGTTGCGAAATCATGTCAGTCAGATTCTGGATGGTCTTGGCCTGGCCAGGTTGGCTTGTCCGGGTAAAAGAGAGCTTCATGAAGCTGCCACCCCACATTGTAGAGCAGCTCCCCGTGTGGTGGAGGGGTAGTTTTGCAGGGGTATTGTGGCTTTTCTCGGGCCATTGGTAGGCGAGTTGAGGGGCAATGAGCAGGGGTTGAGCTGGAGAGGAGGGGCAGACGGATTGTCTTGTAAGAGACAGATCGATCCGTGACGTGACCAGACGGGTAATGTTGATTGTGATTGTGCTTAATGGGGGGAAGACATACCGCAAGCACCATCGAGCAGACGGTAACCAGCCTTGATAGCGTTGTAGACAACCTCGGCGCAGTTGTCATCGACCTTCCAGAGGCCGAAGCCAATCTGGGGCATGTCGGCGCCGCTGTTAAGCTTGATGCTTGGAACGTTGACCATTGTCACAATGTTTGATAAGATTGTGTATGAAGGAAGAGATGGATGATACAATAGAAGAAGAAGAAGGAAGGAAGGGAAGTAGGAATGGCAACACAGAGGAGGGGAGGGGAGTATTTATGGTGGTAGAGAGAGAAACGTATGTTGTCTGTCTGCTGTCCCAGAATGTATGATACAAGCCCTCATGGCTGCGGCATGACAGTAGCAGTAGCAGCATGGTAGGGATTAAATTGATAACGAGACTCCTTTTAAAATCCGAGGGTGCTAAACTGCATTGGTTTTGATCTCCTTTTTTCACATCGCCGGTCGTAGAATGTCACTCTGCATGGTAGTAGGGTAGGTATGGGATGGGATGGTTTCTGTGGTATCATGGGACTGACTTCTCCCCATGCATAGTACCATCTAGGGTGTGAAAGAGGTGTGTAGGCAATGTATTGGGTATAACTAACAGCGGCAAATCTCCAAGCTCCATCATGCAAGGCGAGGAATTGTCCGTCTGGTTTCTTTCTGCCTTAAAAGATAATGCCGCCTTTGGTGGGGCATTAGGGAATTCATCCGGCGGGTGGTGGGCATAGTCCCAGGATCTTGTCATTTTTGCTGTGTCTACAGAATCCTCTTCTCTGGGCATGTTTTTTGTGCTGAAAACATATGGAGAATTCCCATGGTTAATTAGAACTTGATCGTTTATCGTTGTCGTTGAGCTGGATAAAGTGTTATCAACAGGGAGGCTCAACTAAGATTTACAGTAGCGCCATCATGGTTAACAGCCAATTAAGCTATATGTTTACAGCAGACACCCGATGGATACAACATACAAACAATTAATCAAGTCGGCCGAGGATCCGTAAGTAATAATAACTCATTGCCTGTCCCAGGGTATATCACCCCGCAAAACCAAGCCACACACCAAGACTGACCCCGGTTCAACATGTACGAGGTGATGAGGCAAGTGACAAGAAGAAGCAAAAAAAGGGAAAGGGTACATCTCCTCGCAAATCAGTAGTATATTGTTTCATGACGATGCAGGTCCCCCTTCCTTGTCTCAGAGCTGCCTGCGAATGACCTCTTTACTCATTCGTGCGTTTATTTGAGCCGCAGCGCCGCGACTAGACCAAGCAAAGATTGACAGCTTTGGTGCTTGTCAAATCAGTTTTACTCGCGCGGATACTTTTGTAGTTGATGCATATACATACATACATGAGTTGCCTGAATACATACCTGGGTACCTATGTACTGAAGATGGTTCATACGCCGAACTACCTAATCAAATGACCATTACAATTTCCAATGACGTGGTCGTTTTGCCCCGGCTCGGCGTAATTCTGGACTCCTTATCCCAGGTAGTCCATGAAACTCTTGACGTTGTGGGTTTTACGCGGGTGAATACAAACAAATGTTGGTTCTTCATGTCATGATGGATAAGAAAAAGAGCCTCTCTCCGGTAAAAAAGACATCAATTTAGCCTAAAGACTTGTGCCCCACGCCTTCCTCGCCTTGGACTTAGTTAGCCGCCCATTAGCCTGTCCCTCGTTCCACAGAAACGGGTAAAATCTCATGGAGAAAGGCTCCACCAAAAAGATTACTCTGCAAACACGCCCTGACCCCTGGCCCATCAAAGTTGGGTCCCATGATGAAGAAAGGAAAAAGAAGGACTGGCATGACAAGGTCGAAAGAACTTGTCTCGATGGCGTCCAATTCATTGTTGGTCGACGAGTGTTCACATCATTTCCACCTTCAATTTCAATGCGACAAAGAAGACACATCCAAGACTATTCAGTATTCTTAGCTACCATGATTGACTTACACCATCGGACCTAATCATGACAACGAAACTTTCCAACTTTCAAAGAACCTTTCAACCTGTCACACAGTCATTCTAGCGAATATGGCTCCAAGCGACCGAAATAGACCACCAGTAAGGTCAAAGACATCACCAGGTTGCCAAACAAAGAACCTCAAAAAACACCACCACGAATCACCACACCTCTTTGTCCTAGACGGCCCTAATTCAGATCGATCCTCTTACAATGCCGCCATCGAACACTACCCTAGAAGGCAATATTCTCCCTTTCCCCAGTATGAATTATGTGAGGACTCACGAATTGAGAAAGGCCCAGGCAGTTGTGTCTTGCGTCTTTGTTCTGCCCGACAAGCTTATTACCGTCCAACCATCCACCTACAATATCGCATGCTCCCTCGAGATCCCTGTTTTCGACAGAAACAATAACTCGACACAAATTGCCCAACATGAAAGGCCGTGATATTCGAATCCATGATTTGCAGTACCCCGAATCGGCAGTATTACTAGTGTCCCCAGCCCAGAGGAGACAATGGTGTCGTCTTCATGAGCGAAACAAGTTCACTATCAAGTCAGCTCTTCTCCGCGGAGATACCAGCGTTACCCTTTTGAATTGCAAGCGCCTTCCAAGCAGAGTATGGGACTTTTTTGATCTTGCCGATCAAGAAATCGACCAACTCCAAATCGATGCTTATCCGCTTGTTCCCATGCCCGTCCGTGACCCGGATCCAAACGGCGACCTAAAAGCGGATGCTCGAAAAGACATTGAGTCACGAAGTTGGTACGGTATGAAGTTCAAATTCGTCAAAGTACTTGCCAAGGGAGGCCAAGGATATGTTTCATTGTGGGATATCGGCTTTGACGATGGCTCGACCAAAAGAGTGGTGATCAAGAAGGCTCTGGGGCCCGATTTCGATCCCAAAAAGGAAGTCGAATTCCACCTGCGGTACAACCATGCGGAACACACAACTCAAGTTGTCAATCTACGCCAGGAATCTCTAGGCATACATGAGGCGATGTTGAAGAAAGACCCATCGTGCCGCCCACGGTTTAGGAAAGGACATGTCTGGGATCCCGAACGCATGGGATGCGCTGTGTTTGAGTATGCTCCCTATGGCGACGTATGGAAGTACATGGAGGCCTTTTTTCCGGGGAAAAAGGAGTTCCCGAATCAAGTTCTTTGGGGGATAATGGAGTGTTGTAAGCTGTCTTGTCGAATTCATCATCTCCTCCTGGCTGACTTATATGCTTAGATACCCTGGGAATTGCCACTGTTTCATATACACCGACTTTTGAAGAAGGTAGTACGTTCGAACAGGAGTACAAAAGAGCCGAAGAACTGGATAAGGTGGAGGATCTTTTGGACCATGCCGAGACTGCATGGTATTCGACCCATGATGTCCATCTGGACCTGGAAGCACTAAACGGTAAGTATTCCAACCCATTTCTCTAGTTCTATTCTAACCTTCACTTACTTAGTACTCATCGGTGAAGATCCGTCTCATGAATATCAGCCTGTTTTCAAGGTAACCCCGCTTGACTCCTGTTATTGACGCCAATATACTGACTAGGACTCAGTTGCATGATTTGGGGGCGTTTAGTGAGTGTATGCGCGCTCAATGGAGGACAACGACCGAAGCCAAGATTTGGGGCCTGCGGCATTTTCCTAAGAGCCACGCTGTAACACCGGTATGCGCATTGCATCTTGGGGCTCCCCGGCATTGCTAACAGGGTATTACTAGGAACAAATAAGCAAAGAATGGGACAACCTTCCTATCCGATTACCGCCAAAAGATGCTCGGAGACAATTTTGTGGCGAGATTTTTGAAAAGGGGACCAAGTGTGCTGGGCGCTTTGGAACATGGACCAATGTCTTTCTCATTGCCAGAGTGGTGAGTTTTAATTCTCTTCTGTTCGAAGTACCACATTTATCTAAATGTTTGCAGATGGAGTCCATGATTACCCGGGAGATTATGAGGTATCCCTTCAGGCCTGCGCCTCATAAGAAAGCTGATGGTTCGGAGGGGCCACAAACATATGGCTGGAGGTTGCAGGAACAACGACATGCTTGGGTCGACCCAGAGCTACGCGATCTCATTTGCATGTGCCTCTACGAGAACCCTGGCGATAGACCCAGCCCACTGAATATGTTGAGAGCCATAAAGAAGTGGAAGGACTCTGGGCACCATGATCCTACAGAGCTTGTTGAATGGTGGAAAGACGTTCGCGGTCCTCGACCGGTAGAGCATCACCGGCCAAAGGCACCAAACGCAAACTCCAATGCCATTCGACAGGGCGTAATAGATCAGATGGGAGTTCTAGCATTACATTCAGTCGGGCAGCCACATTCAAAGAATCAACCTTCTGCTGTCATTCAACCCACTCAACCTGCTATTGTGGGGGCGGCTCCGAACCAGTCCCAACGTCAAGGTCCTGTGCAAGGAAATCAAGGAGGCGCCAACCCTCAGCAGGTACCTCCCGCGCAGCCGCAACAACCAAATCGTCCGGCTGACCCTCACGTTCCTGCGAAGGTTGCTACGACACGCAACAAGAAGAAGAGACCAGCAAATATCCAGGTGCGATTGGAGAAACGTCCGTCAGCTGGTATTGGGTCAGGCGAAGCCATGGATATTGAGCGCGAGGAGGCTGCTTACCAGTTTAGTGGTGATCCTGACAACTTCGCTGCACCGATCGTCCCTCCTGCACAAATTCAAAACATTGCCCAGCCTGGACGCCCTTCTAGCAAGTCTATAGTGAGTATCAAGCGCGTTACTCAACACCCTGCTAGGCGTATCGGGTTCGAGGATCCCCTGAAGCCCTCCAAGGGATACAAAATTCACAAGAACCTCCTCTCACCAAAGATCGGGAAGGTGGTTCGCAGACCAGGCCCAAAGAAGTCCCAGGCGCTTGAGGCACTTGTTCGAGGCGTTACCTCACGTATGCCTGTAACTATTCAAAACCTCATGTCCCGAGCAAAAGAGATCGAGGCACGACTGGATATTGGTGCTGTTCCTATTTATGCTTATCTGAAGTGAGGGCAAGTTTTAGAGGTCTATGGTTTGTCAAAGTTGGTTGTTATGCTTGGTTTGTATTTATACTTTGAAGGATGGCGAAATGTGTTTCCATGGGATTTGTGTTGCTGTCTAACAGTGTTTTTTGCTATATGATATCGATATTTCAAGCAATATATTATAGAACGTTTTATTCCTGGGTATCACTAACTCCTATCCCTCTCATGTTTTCCTTGCCCGCCTGACCAACTATATACATGTAAATTCCATTTTCCGCGCATAGACGACTAATTAGCATAGCGACACTCACAGGTACCGTTACTGGATTTGATGTCACCCACAATACCTCCCTGGCTATCCACACACTCGGGCAATCCACCTCTGAACATCTTGCGCTGGACAATCTCGACATTACCTGGCCATTCGACAAAGTTGTCACCATCAGACCCATCATCAAAATCGTCACCATTCCTTTGTGTCCAAAGTGTAGCTTCAAAGAGCGTATCATCAAACATACACTTGGCAGCAACATTACTCGACGAGAGCATATCGTCTGGGACGTCTGTCTTGGTCATTGAGAAGGAGAACTGCAGTCGCTCTTGCGATGTGTTTTCGTCTAGACGCTTGAGAGTCAGGTTTGCGAAAGATGGTGCAAAAGGGTTTGCGGTGGATGAGATGTTGTAAGAGCCATCATCATCGTTGGACGTGATTATCCAGAAGAATGTCGCCGAGGAACCTTGCGTGTAAGGATAGCAACGCCATGTTGATGGGTTGGAGGTACAATCTGTAGATGTGTTTTGGAGATCTGCTCTGAAGGCATAAGATCCAGCTGGGAATTTGGGTGTTGGCTCTGGAGTTAAGGATTCCTGTGGTATATCCTTGCTGCTGTTGTTGGTTTGTCAGTCTCCTTTTGTCTTATACCTCGACTATAACTTACGCATTATCCAAACCTATCGATAATCCAACACCCAAAGCAATCGCAACAATAGCAGCACCCACCATGAAGATGACCAACAAACAACATCCCCTCCTCTTATCCACGCCGCGAAACCTCCGCTTCATAAAGCTGCCACTGTCCGTTATATCGGGCTCTATAAACTTGCCCTTGGTCTCGTGGTAGCCATAGCTGTAGCTCGGTGGGGAGTAATGCGCCGGGGGTGGAGCGCGGTAGGCTCTTGCCGGTGGGATGTAGGCCGGTGGTGGGATTCCATAATTGCGAAGAGCACGACGGGGAGATTTCCTGGGGATGCGTAGGGGAGCTGGAGGAGTGGACGGACTGGAAGGTGAGGGTGTTAAGGCGATCTCGTTTTCGTCAATGGAGGGGAGATGGGGACGGGAGATGGAGGTGAAAGATGATGCTCTGTGGGTGTGACCTCTGATCATTTTGGGGAGATTCACTTCTGTTACTGGTAATTCTGAATAGGTGGTTCAGTTGAGTGTTGTTGCGGTTGAACCAATGATGCTGATAAAGATTGTTACTAACTCAATAGCAGACCACAGACAAAGAACAAGTAAAAGAAGTAGGTAGAGTATAAAAGAGTATAAAAGACTCAATAGTCAGGTTATCAGTATGTTTCCTCGGACCGGGATTAAGGCAACCTTGATATGTTCAGCTCAGCCTGATACAACAATCGTGCAGTTCAAGCGTGTATGTTAGTTATGTCGATGATGGGAATACGATGCATTCAGTTAACTCTCAATCAAGAGGAATTTCGTCCAGTTTTCAATTCGCAAAGATGAAAGATAACAAAAAGACATCATCAATGATGTTATCGTTTTGAATCATCCCTCCTCCTCCTTAAGAACAAACTATCGATTTCAGCTTTTGATCTGCCCTTTGCCCTGTATTTTTTTGCCTCCCCACCCCTTCCAACCGTTAGAACTAAAGCCGTTCAGAAATTCAATTGACAATTCAAGACCCGCCCGCGCGGGATCATGGTCATCCGAAGGGGGGCGTTGTTTTACTTTAGCGTCTCTTGCTCTCCCGCTAACAATGGCCTCGTGATTGGGGATGTACCTGGAAAGGTGGCGTTAAGCTACGAAGCTTGGCTTGCGAAATATTGGTTTGGTCAAGGGAAAGAGGTAAAGCTTGAGGGGGATCTGCATATTGGATCTGGAATTCCATTGTAGTCAGGGTCAGTCGATATTGTCACTTTAGAATGTTATGTATATGCAACTATCGTCTTATTGAACCCTTGGATTCTATCCCTCTCTCTGCTTTACCCTTCTAAGCTTCACACTTCTACCAATAATCCTCTCTTACTGTGATAGATCGTCTATGTACCTAGATCCCTGAAGCTCTCAAGTATACAACTGTTACTGGCTTACTCCATGCTGAACAAAAACTCCCATCAGTCGCGGTTCGGGTATTTCTCTTCCACGTCACACCATATCAACCAATCCTTCAGCTACCCTTCTTTCATCTACTCCTGTGCCTCTGCTGCCTTCTCGGCATATGTAGGAGCCTCCAAAACCTCACCCTGATCAGTCCAGACCGCCGACAACTCTGTCTCAATCTCGTCTCGACGCTTCTTCCACTCTTCGACTTGCGCCAGTCGCTCGCGTAGTTCCTGCAACTCTTTCTCAACCTGCATCTTCTCACGCTCGGTGCCAATTCGCTCAAATTCCCATTCATCTCCTCGGTCACCCATACCAAGGACCAAGTTATATTCGTGGTACTTCTTGAGGGATGCTCGAGTTGAGATAGTAATAAGTGCTGTGTGTGTTAGTTTAATGTTATCATAACCATAAACAGAGCTGATACTTACTGATGCCCTTCTCCTTGCACGTCTCATACAGCAAACCCTCGACATCACTCGACACGGCGCTTGTACCTTCATCCACAATAGCATACTGAGGCTCGTGGTAAAGTAGGCGAGCGAAGCCCATGCGCTGCTTCTCGCCTCCACTGAGAATATCCTTCCACTCTTTTCGGGTATCCCATCCACCCTCTCGGTCAGGTAGGTATCCCAGTCGCGCAGCTTCAAGAACTTTAATAAGATCATCTTCGGATTTGCGCTTCTCCTTCATATCAACATGGCCATCAGGGTAGATGACTTGGTCACGTAGGGTTCCTGGGCTCAAGTACGGGCGCTGAGGAAGGAACATAATGCCATCTTGGCCAATATCCTTCGGGCGACTAACCAATCCTCGGTAGACTGGCCACAAGCCAGCGAGGATTCTTGAAATTGCAGTTTTACCCACTCCATTTGGTCCGGAAATCTAGATGTTGTCAGTACACATACGGACCGCGATGCAGATAGACTTACTAGTAGATGTTCACCCCTTCGCACAATGATGGATAATGACTCAAGCAACTCCTCTCCTCCCTGTGGCCACAGGCCAGGAGCGACAACTGGCACATGCTCGAATCGAACGCCATCGAATCCCTTCTGAATAGTTCCTGAAACATCGGACAGAGAATATAGTTCGCTCTGTCCAGCTCGAACCTGGTAAGCATCGGCGTTTACCCGGTGTAATGTCGAGATGAGGGTGTAGACGCGGCTGGTATATCCTGCCAGTTCTGACAAATCCTTGATTGAGTACATCATGCGACCACCTGCATCTGCGAGTGAAAGCATAAGTCTTTTGTTTGTGATAAACTCCTTCATACGATTACGTTCCCGTCCTCCCCGTACAGCATTCTCAATCATCTCAGCCCGGCCTCCGACACCACCCCAGGCCGGTAGGAAGACAGGTAGCGATGCCAGCAAGTAGCCGTAAGCACTCCAGCTGTATTTGAGGATGAAATCTTCCAGAATATTGTAACGGATCTTGAGCATGTAGATGCCTTCCATCCAAGTCTTTAGCGACTTGAACTCGCGGTTCAAAAAGGTCTTTTCAGTCTCGGCGCCTCCATAAAATGCGACTTCCTCGGCATTGGCAATCAGACGGGCATGCAAACTTCGGAAATCACCCTCTTTTCGACCCTCGACAGCCTTTAGTTTTCCAAACGGCGGCGAAAGCCGTCGCAGGATGCTAGCAGTCAGGAAATAATTACTCATAAGACCAGTGATGGCGAGAGGACCCAAGGACCTGTAAAGCTGGTAGTTGAATACACACAAATCGACAAAAGGTTTGCCGAGCGATGAATAGATGTTGGCTGCCGCAGCACAGAATAGCGTCAGATCTTGGGTGATAAACTGGTCGGCACTTTGACCGACACCTCCATCCAAATTAGAAAGCTTGTAATAATTAAGATTGTCGTTAAGGTAGAGGTCATGGATATATCGCGTCAGTCGCGTACGGAAGGCGATGGAGACCTTTGATTCAAGGAACTTGATCGTGGCGTTTGTGTATGAGGCAAAGCCTCCAATTCCGCACCACTAGGATGTGTAAGTCTTTAATACCATATGTTCCAAGTCGATTACTTACCTTTAGTATGCCCCATAAGAACGCTCTCCCGTTGCCAGCAACTAAATCGCGTACAATCTCACCATCCAGGCGAGCAACAACCAGCGAAAGGTATGTTCTCAGCATCAGGAATGCGCCGTGGCTAACCAGTAAGCCGGCTTCTTTGCTGGACCACCGTGGGATCATGATGCTCATCAAGCTCAGGAACTGGTGCAGAAAAGCAATATTAAGACCGGGCTTTGTTTGCGCTGCCGGTACCGTGCCCTCCCGCAGACCAGATACACGGGGAGGGTTCAGAAATAAGCGGCGATGCGCATCGAAAGTGAGAGGCTTGGTGGTGTTGATGACCACTTTCGATGTGCTATCTTTATATGGGACATAGATGGTTCGCGATCCGTCCTTGTTGTGAAGCCATGAGTTTGTGCGCACGAGTTTTCGACCTTGCTCTCGCTCATGTCGTCGGTTCTTCCACCATCGACGTCCTCCAACTCCACCAAGGATAATTGAGATAGCAAGGGCTAGCGTCGCGAGTAAACGGGTTGTGCGAGTTGTCCCGCGTAACCTTGTCTTGATCTTGCCGGTCCATTTGTCGAGAAAGGCGGCTAACTGCTCCTCGGCAGCAGTATGCCGGAGCGTTGATTGTCCAGCCATAGTAAAAGGTTGAATTGGGTGCAGGCTTTGTGATGACGATGAATGTTGTATAAAGTACTACTATGGTATTTGGAGTAGCTTCCCCACAACAACAATAACGACCGAGTCTCTGAAGAGGCTCAGGGCGCTTGCTTTACTTGTCCATTAGCAAAGTGTGGTATGTATGATGTGAAGTTGTTGGTAATAGTATGGAAAATTTGTAGTGGTTAAAACCTCCTAAGACAAAATATGGTTGAGGTTGTCTTGTATCGAGATAGTCATGAGCATGTGAAATACGGGTACCCGAGGCAAGTGGCACATGGGACCGGCCTGCGCCTGCCTCCTGCTGCGACTTTCCTTACTTCACCTCACCTAAGCTGCAGCCGACGGATGCGGCGAGCGGGAATGACGACACTGTGTCCAATCACATGATTAAAGAAAAGCTGGGGAAATATGGGGAAGGCATTTGGCTATCTATTGCTAATCGATGGAGTCAACATGTTATTGGTTCGGTTGAAATTGTGAGTGGATGTCGCCTACCCTAGACATCAGGATGAATCCATTAACAATTGTGATATCGACTCGTATCTCTTGATCAGGTGATTATTATATGTCGTAAGTACCTGTACTTTGTTATTTTCTGTTTGTATTTCCTCCAATGCATTTCTGCCACATATTTCTACTGCAATGGCTTCCACTGATCACCAAGCAACCTATGATCACTGTGAGGATATTTACGGAGCACCATGTGTCACCACTGTCCGAGATTGTATACGAGATTGTGTACGAGAATCGTAAATCGGGAAGAGATGGTGGAACCATCATGTAAATCTCACTGCCGTTAGAAGTCTAATTTAAGCACAAAAATCGAATATTTGTCTACAGTTTTACGCATTCATATTGGGAAATGTTCTTGGGTAGCCCAGGATTCAAAAATGACACGACTCAGCATCGACACGCTAATCAAAGGGGTCAGCTCACCATGTCGAGCTTACAGGCTTTGGAGTCAACTGATGACACTTCTCCCTAGACTCACTCGTTGAGAGAGTCGGCCTGGCCGGGAGAACAAAGTGACGGTGTGATTGCTATAGAAACATGCTCAAGAAGGTAAGCTCATAGCTCTCTAAGAGTGAATAATTAATACATTACGGTAAACGCGATCGATATGATTGATATGATGATGATATCCTAGGCCAAACAGAAACACCAACTGCAAGGTCTCTCTAACCGGACCGCAGCGACAGCGGGTATGCAGGTCTCTTAAGTGGTTGAGTCTGAAGGTCCCACGATGCATGGAGACATCACTGATCTGGGCGCCAACGGGGCCAATCATGCTAGTCGAGCAAGGATAGTGGTCCCGGTCCGACAGGGATAAGGGCTCGTTCCGTGTCTCAGTAATGAAAGAGAAGATGGAATTTGAGAATTTGAATTGGAACTGGAGCTGGAGCTGGTGAAATGAATGACCCCAACAAGGGATCTGTGAGTAAATCTGATGATTGGTATGGAGTAAACGTATTGTCGATAATGCACGTGAAGAAACTCGTATGGAAGGTTTGGAAGCTAAGGGACTGGCGACTCAGGTAAAGCTACTTGTTATCTGCTACCTACTCCTTAACGAATATCGGTGGATAGAAGAGCATGGACCAAGAAGTAGTATCTCTTGTCAAACTCAACGACATCAAATGCATACATAGTTTAAACCTGGCAACCAGGGGTTTCATCATGCCAACAAGATACAACAGAGAACACAGCTAGGTACCGTACCCGTTAACAAACACATTTAGGTTGCATGACACGAGGAAACATCGAAAGAGCGTGCATCTCATCCCGTACGTCAGTGGTCATGTAGTAGTAGCACACGGATGTGAGTGACATGGTGGCAGCCTCAAATCCAAGACCAAGGAAGAAGCTTGAAAAAGCTGGGGAGAGAGCTTGGGCCCTTGGCAATAAGAGAAAAACCAGAACGACTGACTGAAAGATGACTGGCAACTCTCGTTTGTTTATCGTTACAGACCCGAAATTAAACTCCCCTCTTCTGCAGATATGGGCATCACGTTAAAAGGAGAGACCCTCTCCCCAGCGCTCTGCTGAAAGATCGCGGTCATGGATGGTATGTATTAGAGCGTAGAACGGATACCCATCCCTTGTTGGTGTAGGTGGGCATCAGTGCTACCATCATCTGGTGATGGCAGTCCGACCGAGTGGCTTTCTGATTGACCGAATCTTTATAGTACCACTGTAACAGCTGGAGAGATGCAGCTTATAACGATTGCAGTAATTGCAATTTATCGAGACTGCATTTAATCAATCAAGATAATTGCTTTTTGTTCTGATGATCCGACTTCTTGCGCAGAAGTACTTCCAGCCGACAAAAAGTGTAATGAATGTAGGTACATGTGCAGAGCCAGGACAGGGGTCTTTAGGCGCCGCACCAAGCCATGGGCGGACCTAAACCAGCCATAAGACAGGGTGGTTAAGATGAGCTTGGCGGACACCATTATTAGCGGAGATGAGAGACAAGGGATGGTCTTTTTGACTATCCAAAGATACCAAAGATTGAGTTATTGGCACTGTATAAACATACTGTTTCTTACCGTGGCATACAGTTTTATCCATCCGTCATCGTACAGTATACGATAGTACTTCTTCATGATGGATGCTCCCGGAGGGTTAATCTCAAGCCTAACTCCACTCACACCTCCCTCTACCACCCACCCCAGTCAAGCCCTGTCGAGCCCCATCCTGCTCGACGTCTCTCAGTCTATCCTCTGGCCTCTCACAGGCTCACAGTCTCCCACTGTCCCCAGCGACCCTGCTGCTCACTGTTTCTAGCGGATGTGTCCCCGGGCCAGGCTTCCCTTCCAGCACGTCTCCCACTGTCGCTGCACCAGCACCCACACGCACTGCATCGCGTCCAGTCCAGCCTTTCCAAATCGAAAATCGACCTTGACTTTTACCTCTCTCATCCTCATCTGCATCTAATAAACAACACCCCAGGCAGAGCAAGCGAAAGAGAAGCCCCCTGGCCTGCTCTGTTTTCCTAATCTCTCTTCTTTGAGCCAAGACCAAGTTCATCTCTTAAAGGCAATCATTTCGCTTGCGCGCCAGGTCTTTTTCAGCCTCCGATCCGCCCGCCTTACCTCTCTCTGGTCCCCGTCGCCCGTCGCCAGCTGGTCCTCCGTCTTTTCTCATTCTCACTGAGCTCCATCTCCCGACCGACGCAATCCCCGATCAGATTTCCTGTTGACGGCATCTGTTTCGACGATTGAGACGAATCGTCTGTTCATTCATCCATTCATTTTCGTGACCGTTTTTGGTCGGTTCTACAGTTTCGATTCTGCTTGTACGATTCTTGGTCCAGGCCGACTTCTAGCCTCCCCTGCCTTGGCCCAAACGCGCCTTAATTTCCCGCCGCTCGCCCTTTTACTTTCTGCGCCGACAAAACTCCATCAACTGTTTATACTTGCCATATCCATTGGCTTCGTTTCTTGTCTCACGCTCTAGGCCTCGATAGGCCCTACTTGAAGAGTTAGGGGTGATATACCAGCCGGATTTGTTTGTTTGCGGTCAACGATGTGAGTACCTACCACTCCTTTAATATGCATAAGGTCTTGCGCGACGGCCTGGACAGTATGGCAATACCAAGGTTCAACTGGCAAGCTCATTGCAAATATGCTTTTTCTCTCGATGCAACTATTGTATCAGGCGCAGGAGTCTGGTCACCGCCCCTGATACATTGTTGCCCTGCCCGAGCTATCACTTTCACCATTGCTTCTTGTATCTCAGTTTCCCAAAGACAGCAGCTGACCAATATTTAGATACAAAATACAAAAGCAAAAATGTCAACCAAAAACGACGAGATTCAACCTCAGGCAACCTCGGCCAATGCTGAGATGTCGAACAGGGGTCAGTCATCTCGAGAGGAGGGAACAAGCTCCAAAAAGGGTCGCGGCCTCCTCAAGGTTCCTTCGAGATCATCTTCACAGCAGAACCAATCGTCACCAACATCGACAGGTTTGAGTGGGGCCACAGTCAGCGATTCCCGGAACAGTATCGGAAGCCGATCGAAGGAGTCAAAAGGAAGTCTCCGGGCGCGACGACGGAATGGAAGCACCTCAAGCAACAGGACTGGAGGTGAAACTGAACCTACAAACACTGCCGCAAACTCTCAGCAAAACTCTCCCCTCGCTCCTCCTCAAAAGAAGAAGCGCGGTGGTCTTTTCGCCTTTCTGGGATGCTGCGGTACGCCCGAAGGTCCAGCTGGCAACGAGGAAACAAACGAAAACGTACACAAGCTCGATGTCTTACCTCAGCGCCCAACATCCGCAAGGTCGCGAACCAATACTCCTCAGGAGCAACCCAGGCCAGTTGTGGAGAGAGAGTCTCAAGTCACTGTTCCTGCCCCGGAGCCCAAGGACGAGGCTACTTCATCAGGCCACGCCCACGACGAAATTACAACCATAGAGCGAGAAAACCGGGAATCGAAACAATCTGTTCCCCCTTCAGTCACAGTGGAGCCTCCTAAGCCTACTCCCACAGAAGATGAGCCTCAGGTGACAGACAAGACGCCTAACAGCGGTGACGTGGATATGCGAGATGCTGCCACTGAGGAGCTAGAAGAAGAGGCCCCTGTAGCCCCTGCAGTCGAAGATCCAACCCAAAGGACGATACCACCTCCCCCACCCCCGGCTGTCGTGGCACCCAGCCAATTCACAGATGCTGGCCCATCAGCACCTGAGCCGCAAAAATGGCTGTTGCCCCCCATTGCACCAGAGCATAAGGGTAGGAAATGCCTGGTTCTCGATTTGGACGAGACCCTGGTTCACAGTTCCTTCAAGGTAAGTCTTGTCATTGACATGAATATTGTGGATACGCGCTAATTACTGCCAGATCCTACACCAAGCCGACTTTACGATTCCTGTTGAAATCGAGGGTAATTACCACAATGTGTACGTGATCAAGCGTCCAGGCGTCGACGAGTTCATGAAGCGAGTTGGTGAGCTCTATGAAGTTGTGGTCTTTACAGCTTCCGTCTCCAAGGTTAGTTTTACTTGAATAGTTTGTCGACCAGGAAACTGACAGTACGTAGTATGGCGACCCGCTATTGGACCAACTCGATATCCACAAGGTTGTCCACCATAGACTCTTCCGTGAGAGTTGCTATAATCACCAAGGAAATTACGTCAAGGACTTGTCCCAAGTTGGTCGAGACCTGAAGGATACCATCATTATTGATAACTCGCCTACCTCGTACATCTTCCACCCACAGCACGCCGTGCCCATCAGCAGTTGGTTCTCTGATGCCCACGACAACGAGCTACTAGATCTCATACCCGTCCTCGAAGATTTGGCAGGACCTAATGTCGCCGATGTCAGCCTTGTTCTTGACGTCACACTCTGAAGCATGACCGTTTCTTAACAACATTTTTTACTTTGTCAAACCATTTTTCCACGATTCGAACTACAACCGTTGATCTGCAGAGTTGCCATCATAGCGGAAGGCGTTTGGTTGAGAGCTTTCGTTTCCTGGTGTAGATGTACTATTGTCTAATCATACATAATTGAGCGGTCGAACGGAACGAAATGAAACGAACCTCGCCAACACGCTCAGACTTCCTTTACAAAGATACCTAGCGGCCTTTGGTCAGCTTTAGCACGGAGGCCTTTTACAGCAGGCATTGCAATTACATCTCACAGATTCGGAGCAAAAAAAAGGTGGATCAGCATCAGGAGAGGCACGGAACATACACGAGTTCTTTATCTCCAGAGACGATGGGGCGTGATGTTGTGTGTGCAGTACACGCTGGGCTGAAGAAACAGAGATAGGGCCTGTTGAGGCATTTTGGGAACGTTTGATACCATCTCATCTCATGGGGATGAAGAAAAGAGCTGGAGGAGGACTCGCCAAGTGCATGGATGATGCGCCATCGATGCGCGAATGTTTTTTTGTTGTCTTGATTCCCTTTGTCTTATGGTTTCTTGTCTTTTGATACTGCTACTACTGCTTCTTCTCTCTTCTTCCTCGTTGTTTCATCCTTTTTCTTGATTATACACCACCCCCGATACATTCATGTCGAGTCTGCGAGCGGACTCGGAAGCGAGCACGAGAGCGTTTGTTGTTGATATCCAATCTGCCTGACTTGACGATAGGGATCAACAGGTGTAGAGGCTACAGCCATCTCTTCCAATACATAGTCTCACTAAATTGTAAAATTTCTTTTAAAGAATTAATGGCCTTGAATGAAATAATCACAAGTTTCTTTTTTGGGGAATAGACTTGACTGGAGTTGGTGAACTGTTGCACTGCGTAAAGTGAAGCAATGTGGAGCTATTACCTATTGTGGAGAGCTGTGTCTTAGGGGAAGTCCCTTGGAGTTGCAGAGCTCCAAGACGCCACCGGAAAATTATAGCACCGCCTCCCTTCTTTCTGGTGAATGTGGCCTCAACTCCCTAAGTGGTCTGGTCCCCCATTTTACGGTGGGAGTAGCACAACCACCCAAACCATTAATTTAGACCCCATCTCTTCTGGATCTTTGGTTTCCATCAACGTTTACTATCTATTCCTTCCTTTCTTGTCTCCATTTCGCGCTCTCTAAGAATCCTGCTGTGATTCTCTTGTCAAATCTCCTTCCTCGGGTTTAATTCTTCAACAATGGTACGTCTCAACCTTTGAATCGAGAGCAATTGGCCATGCAAGCCGTGGAGCTAGTGTCGCATTGCGACTGAGCTCTATCTCTCTTGAGCTCAGATCGATATGAAGCTTGTTATATCTATGATCGACATCAATTCGCTAACACGTTGTTCCTTTACAGTCTTCTCCTCGTCCTTCCTCCCCCGTCAACGGCGGCGCTGCTGCCAGCGGTGCCAACATCGGCCGACCCTCATCTCCTGCTATCCCTGGTGGTCCCCGTACTGCCATCCGACGACGCGCTGCCGCCGACCAGAAGGAGAAGATTGCCAATGCTCGACCAAGCAGCACTCGCGCCGCTGGCGCCGGTGGTTCCAGCAGCACCATGCTGCGTATGTTGTACCATCCATTACCGAGCTTGAAGGTCATACTAATACCCCCTTTACAGGACTTTACACCGATGAGTCGCCCGGTCTTAAGGTCGACCCCGTCGTTGTCCTTGTTCTGTCTCTTGTCTTTATCTTCAGCGTTGTTGCTCTTCACAGTACGCCTTACCCCCTCCTTTGTTACGAAGATGTGTCCAAAGCGTATTTTCTAACTCTATTTCCAGTTATCGCCAAGATTACCCGAAAGTTCTCCAGCTAAAGGGCTGCGAAAACTCATCAAATTTCACGACGAAGCTCGAAGAGAAAGGGAGATGATGATATCTTGGGGACGCTGCTATTTCTTGTTATAACCATGAATGTGACTGGCGTAGGGCCTCTTTTCCACACATGAAGTTATGTGGGAACGACGCGCCACCACCCGCCGACTGGCAGAAGGGTTAGGTTAATACGGCCACACCGGGAATTTTGTTTGTTTGGTATTGCGGTTTATGAGGGGAGCCTTTGTATTATATCTCGGGAAAAGAAGGGTCCAAACCGACAATCTGGACTTTGACTGCTTTGACGCACGAACATGGAATTTCTGTCGACACGAATGTGACATGCAAGATATACTTGACTCGAGCCCCATCTAACATACAGACACAAGCTCAAAAGAGCAAAGCAAAACAAAGAGCCCATTTCTATAAGTTACGTTGCTGTCCTGTACTCTATACACGCAGGAACCCGGACCGTCCAATTCTCACTAACACTCGATTCTATATTCCTCCCTTGCTAGGCTCGCACTCATACGTACGTGTCTTGTCCATACCCCTTGGGTAGGTAGACCTAGCTCAAGCATCAAGGAAAGAGCTTGTACAAGACAGGCCCTGGCTCCTGTCTGACATACACCCCTTAGCAGGCTTGATCATCAACCTTTCGGAGACTCTAGTGGGCAAAGATAGCCTCTTAGCTTTGGGGGTAGTCTGAAAAGCATAAACTGACCTACCAATTTAGTCTCTTGTACCCTTGATGTCCAATTTTTGATACTAAATGAACTCTATAGTCGACCCTGGCTGGATTCTGCCATGATTAGGGGGTGAAAGAGGGCAGGTCTGCATTGTCAGCACCATTGACACGACGCATCTCGTTGTGCATCTGACGGAGCTCGGCTGTTTGTTGGTGGCAAACCCAAGTTGGCGAGTGACGGCTATCAGTAGGTTAATGCCTTTGTTGGTCCGAGTGATACATACCACTACTGATGGCAGTGAAACCACTTTCCTTGGTTTGGAGGGATTGCTGCAATAGTCGAACGACGACGGTCAGTTGGTTAATTCTTCCATTGGTCTGGGTGATGAGCTGCTCCAGTCTGTGATTATGGGCCTGGGCTTCCTGCAAGAGTTGAGCTTGACTGTCACGATTGACAAGCTGAGGGACCGTAGGAGCAAATTGCGCAGAGTTAGTCCCTGTAGCTTCCTGCGGAAGACCCTCGCGTCGAGGATTCTCGCGCTGAGGTCTAGCTCTGGCAGTTGCCTGTGCAAAGCTCAGAGAGAAAAGACCGGCTTGGGGAGCAGCAGTTCGGGGAGCAGCGCCTCGTTCACTGGCCTGCTTGAACTGCGTGACAAGTTCTACCCAGTTGTTGACCTTTTTTTTACGAAGTGTTGTTAGTAATAGCAATATGCTTAATAAATATGATATGACTTACTGTTTTGCCGTTATAGACAAGAATGGCAGCCTTTTGAAGGCCTTGCCCAGGCCCAATAACATGACCATCAAGCTATAAAGCCATGCCGTTAGTCTTAATGCATTTCATATAAAGGATGAGAACTCAAGAGTACTGGTTCACAGCGACATCTGACCAGAGCACAAGAGTAACATTTGGTGGCCAATGGCGCTGGCGATGAACATTAGCAAAAGGTTCGCCTTCATATGTAGACAGAAGGTAGATGAACAAGCTTGAGAACAGCAAGGAAATCCTGGTCCATGTTCAACCATCTTGTTGACGCATTTGATGTAAGGACCCTTACGAGGAGCACCTTTGACAGGGCCCCGGCGGACCTTTTTCTTAGGAGGAGATTTGCCGTCATCGTCGTCATCATCTTGGTTGGACTTGTCGTTCAAGCCGCTCTCTTCAGATCCACTGTCGTCCGACATGCTTCCTGGAATGTAATCACTCTGAGAACGTTGAGGAAGGGCAACGCGAATGGTGCCAGCGTCCTAATACTTGTGTTAGTCTTGGAGGGAAGCCTTAAAGGGAGATGTGTTGTGTATGGAGATATGATGTGTGTTATGGAATCTAACTCACAGAACTGCTGCGTGCCATGGGCCCTCGAATCTCAGGATAAAAAGGGAATTCATAATGGAAGTTCTAGAGACATATGTCCTGAGATGATCAAAATGGTAATACGCAGGCCTGAGTTTGGGGGTGTTCGATGCCTCTCCTTGTCTACTGGGTAGATGGTGAGGATGATGTGAAGGGGATGAATTTTTTTAAAAAAGGTAAAAGTGAAGAAATTTATAACCTGCAGAGAGATAAGTAATAATAATTTACTTACTACCTAATTAAATATTTGGCAGTGCTAGAGTGTAAATGAAGTTGCCTGGTCCCGCCGTAGATATCTATTCTTTACTTTGCCGCCTGGTAACATCTGTCAAGTAGAAGAAAGATTGACCTATTAGCTAAGAGAGCAGACTTATCTGGAGTAACACCTTGAAATTTATACCAACTAAATATAATAGAATCTCACTTGGATAAATCTGAGCTGACACTTTAAGCGGTATTTAGAGATGATAGACCGTGGTATTTATCTTGGCACTAAACAGAGCAGAAGAATTATTTAGGTTAATGAGAAGCCTCTGTAAAATTTCTATCCTACCTGTTGATCTAAACTTAGTGATGTGAGATTGGAGTACTTTAGTATCAGTGAAATCAGTTTGGCTAAACTAACTGCCTCGTGAACACCCTGAACTGAATCCAACCATCTACATATTCTCCAACCCGAGGTGGGAATCCTCAACAGCAGACATCATGTTTTTGTTCATATCGACTATGATGTTTAACATCATAGTCTGCTGCTTTACCAATGCACTGATCATGGCCTTCTGTTGCATCACGACAACATCCATGCTGTTGGCTATGCCTTGAGGGACAGCATCAAGCTTGGTTTCCTCAGAGGGAGCGACCTCAACAATCTTGATCGCGTCTTCAAACGGGACTTTGAAAGTGATAGCGGACGCTGCCTGTTTCGAAGTAGGCACGAGAGGGCGTCCGGTCGAAATGTTTGGAGCTGAGGACGATGCTTCGGCCTTCACAACAATCTTGGCCTTCTGAATAGCGTCATCCCACTGGCTGATCTATTCCCAAGTTAGTCAAACACCGAGACATACATGATGTATTTTGGATACTCACTGGATTCCCGTAGAAAAAATGTTCTACAGCTGCCTCGATAAGTCAGCGTGAAGCCTCAGCCTCAGCCTCGGAGAGGGTCTTCTGAGAGCATTTTGTTAGCTAATAATGAAACAGAGAAAACGATGACACTTACACATTCGTGCTCGCCTTGATGACTCGACGAGTACTGACCACGAAGGATCATGCGGATCTCGCATTTACGACATGGGCTCGAAAAAGTACAAGGAGGCTTGTCTGTCGCACTATGACTGCCTGGAAGATTGCCAGTTTTGGTAGGAGTGGTTGGTAACTGCATACTTCAGAATTGCTGAAAGAAATGATGGCGAATGTGTTTTGGAAGGAGAGATAGAGTTGGTGAACGGAGGATTCAAATCAGGATATGTCCTGGTCCAAGTAAGAATGTGTAGCTGCACCTCAACTAGATAGGCAGATAGAAAGACGGAAGATGCTACCGTCTTATATGCACGTTGGCACTAGTGCTTGTGATGGCAGACGAGTGACCATTTGCATATCAGATTCGGCTGCGGCTTGCTGCCTATATGACCCTTTTCATATCAAACAATAGAAATCATGTGTTACTGTATAACATGGGTATCCTAGCACTTGCGTTTGGCTATAGTGAAATCATATGCTCTACCACCTTAGATTCCCGACGGACCTGATGCGTCACCCCTATTCATCTTCAGGCTCTCCTCCATTGCTCTTCTTAATTCCTCGTCATCGTCGCCCGTGTTTTCTGGGGACTTGCCCTGACTCATCTTCTTTCTGTACTCTTCTTCCGCCAAGCTCTGCTTCTTGACATACTCCATCACAATATCTTCTTCTGTTTGCTGACTGCTTTCCTTCTCCATGGCTTCTTTTGACGCCGCTACCGCACGCTCAAAATCGTCATCGTTTACGTCTCTGGGTGGCAGTGGCGGTGGTGATTGCTTCTTAGAGGCTTCAATGGCTTGCTGTAGCTCTTTGTCGTCATCGTTGGCGAATGTTGTATGTGGCTGAGCTGCAGCGTCCGTCCCACTGAACCCTGGCATTTCAGAATATTGAGGCACTGGCACATCATTCCCCAGGCTCTGCTGAATTGCTTGCTCAACAAGAGCTTGGTACTCCTCATCGGTGATCTGATATTCGGAATCTTTGAAAATGGATGGGTCTTTCAGAGGAAGCGGTGCAGCTTCGCCTGCTTCGGCTCGCTGGCGGACGACGTTAATGCTTTCGCGCATGGCAGCTTCCACCTGTGCGTCCTCCTCGGCGTTGCCGCGTGACGTCTCTTGAATTGACGCCCTAATAGCTCTCTCAAGCTCTTCATCCTCGGAAGAGTGCATCTGTATAGCCGAAGCACCACTCGGTTTTGATTGTGGAACCAGGGTGTCTGAATTAGCTCTCTCCCATGCTTCTTTGCCAGCATGTAGTTTCTTTCGTTTTTCAAAGGACAAATTCCTGGTGTGAAGCCACCCTGTTTGAGGGCGTTCAAGCACGGCCTCTGTACTGTCTTGCCTAGACCCCTCTGGACGCTTTCCTGCGACCTTCTCCTTCTTCTTCCATCGATAAAACTTGTCAAGATCAGATGCGAAGTTGTTCCATCGTTGAATAACATCATTTCTTTCACCAGGTGTCGCCTCTTGCATTTCGTGCTGACCCTGAACAGCTCGCGAAGAAACGATGTAGTTCAGAACGCTTTTGGAGAAATACCTGGTAATCTCAGCATCCACGCCCTGCATGGTATAAGCTGGGATAGACCAAAAGCCTGCAGTATAATTAGCAACGCGCAAACGTCCACCTTCCGGCAAACTTACCTGCCGCTGGCTTTGCTACCACACCTCCAATACCCTTACCAAATCCTTTGATCAAACCCTGCATGCCCTCTTTCTCGGCACCTTTTAGGGGCTGTGTAACGAGACCAGTGATGCCGTCAAACAGGCCATAACCAAACTCTTTGCCTGCTACCATAATACCAGAGCCAACCCCTGTTACCTTGTCAACAGGACGAATAGTCTCGTCGTTGTAAAGTTTTGGCATGTTTCTGAAACCTCTGGCTAGTCCAAGGCAAAAGTTCATGGGCGTTCTGGCACCAGTGGTAACTACACGACCAACTCCCCTGCCTGTACCAACAGCTGCGTCCACGTAGTTGACAGGTGATGCACCCCGATCCTGTTTGGCAGCGTTGGCCGCTTGCTTCATCTGCTCCTTCCATGATTTCTGATTGGCCGATGCTTGGGCGCTTGACCGATCGGGGGATGACAGACCAGAAGTGCTGGATGCTGTGTCGCTTAAAGTAGGACGTGATGTGTTGGAGTGAGAGGTTGTGAGGGCTGCAGAGTTTAGCGTTTCGGTGTCCGCGATGCTCGCCGCAGAAGTTGATTTCTGATCCGGATCGGTACCTTGAGATTTGGTCAGTGATGCATCACTCTCAGTAGCGCGAGGGTTCGCAGTGTCTGATAATATCTGGTCTTTCTTTTTCGGGTTAGACATGCTCTTGAAGAGCTCTCTGGGCATATCAGCGATTGCCATGCCAATGCCCCCTATATCAGTGACAAGCGACAATGTGCAAGCAGAAATCGGGTCAGGTGGCTGCTCCTCTGTGTTATACTCCCTCATTCGATACCTACTTCTGTCAGCTCAGTTTTAGCACAGTCTCGTGTTGTGACTTACAGCTTCAAGTCAGACCATTGAAGTATTCCCTGTTCTACCAGCACTGCAGCAGCAAAGGCACTAAGTCGTACTTGGGTTCTTCTCACACGCCAAGCGGCGGCCCTGCTCGGTGCCAGAGTGCATCGTAATTTGTCCACCTCTAGATGGTCGTGAAAGCTCTTCCCGCCAACATCGGTTCCTTTTTCTTCTCTGATCTTCTGACCCATAGCCTTGGCCTGCTCCAGAGTCTCGGGCTTGACGCAAAATTTGATGGCTTCGGCCAGCTTCTCTGCAGTCAGCTGCTTATATGGGATCGGGTCAGGACCGGCCTTGGCTCTTGCTATCATAGCACCCCAGAATGGCTGATCGCCAAAGAAGGGCACCACAAGAGTAGGCTTGCCAGCCTTGATGCCTGCAGCGGTAGTGCCAGCACCACCGTGATGTACCACACAGGAGACATGCTCAAACAACCAGTCATGAGGCACATTGCCTAACATATATACCCCATCCGGCTTGCCAAGGTCGTCCGCACCAAGACCACCCCAGCCTTTCGAGACCAGGGCCCTGACGCCTGAAAGCCTAACTGCCTCAAAGATCATTTCGGTCATAGCATTAGGATCATCAACCACGATGGAACCGAATCCAATATAGACTGGAGGAGGACCATCACGCAAGAAAGCTGCTAACTCGGGATCGGGTGTATATGAAGAAGCGAGGTTGAGAAAGTAGAAGCCAGAAATATCAATGTGTCGACCCCAATCGTTGGGCTTTGGAATCAAGGCTGGTGACCTGTAACCAGTTGGTTAGTGATAATCCGGTAGTAACCCACAAGTACTTGCCAGCAGTATGTCCAAGAGATTTTGAGTCTTGAAAGAAGTCCAGGTGCCCAGATCAACGAGAGCGGAGGAAGGTCAAGCGCCTTCTTACGGAACCGGTTGATAACATCTCCGAGACCCTGCCATGTCATCATTTCTACTAGAGTATATGACATATAATTCGTCATCACATCATCGGTATTTGACGATTGAATATTGGCTAAAGGATGCGGGAAAGCTCGTGTTGGCGACCAAGGCATTCTAGAGAGTTATCAGTATACATCTTTTTTTGCGGCGAGGCGGATCACTCACGTAAACATCATATGCACAGGGATACCCAATTTCTCAGCAATATGAACGTGGGCGAAACTAGGAGGGTTTGCAATGATAGCATCAGCAACAAAGGGCTCTTGACCTGAGTTGCCTGATACCAACGAAACGTCCAAGGGTGCGTTGGAGGCATGAGGCTTGGGAGCAGGGCCAAGACCATCGCCTCCTTCGATACATGATCGCCAACAGCCCATAAGTATCTCTTCAATACCCTTTCGACGCTTAGTGATTTCGCCGCTTGTGATGGCATCAAAGCCAGGCATCAGACCGGGGTGCTTGACCATAAAGGCCATCAGCTCGGCAGGGTCACCTCCGATGTTGAAGAATTCGAGACCATTCTCTTCGACAAATGTACGGAAGGTGGGGTGAGTAGCTATTCTTACTCTGTGTCCATATGTGTCTTTTAAAACCTTGGCTAGGGCCACAAAAGGTTGAACGTCGCCTCGGGAACCAACGATTTGTACGACGACATTGAGTTTTGGTGGTGGAGTTTGTCCAGGTCTACCTCCAAGGCTTGGAGGGATATATGCGGGAGGGAGATCAGGTTGTTCAGGCTCGGGGGCAAGTTGATCTTGTAGAGTTGGAGCGAGAAGATCTGCAAGTCGTCTGTTCTTGGCATTGATATTGATGTTGACTCGACCGTCACCTGTAGATAAGATGTCACTTGTTAGGCTAAGCGCCAAAGCAGGTGTATCTCTGCAACAGAGGGAATGTTTACTTGCCTGTTACTTTTGCACCAGCATCAAAGCCAGGCTGCGAGAAATGGACCTGACCATGGTCCTCTCCGTAAGGAGGAGGAGCTGCATCGCCATCAGCGATGTGAATATCTGGTAATTGCAGGTTGTTTGAGCCATCATCATCGCGGGGTTGTCGTTGTTGCTGCCGACCCGCAGCAGCTTTATCGTCAATGATACCAGCCATAATTTAATAAGTAGCGAATGAATCGCAGAGACTGGTGAATGGGATGATCAAGTTGTGCTTATCATGGGGAAACAAAACTTTGAGAAGGATAATCGTTAGGAATTTAAAGAATACTGTTGAAGGGTTTAAAGGGTCTCTTGATAGTGGAGAAGGGAAGTTGAAACCAACGACGTCAGTGGGTAAACTTACGAATCAGGAACGCGGTAGGGATCTAACCAAACTAAAACTATCTAAGCCACAGACAACATGTTAGGTGGTTTCCCTTTTGGGTATATTCAACGATGACATTCTCGGTCTTTCATTTTCTTAATCACCATGTTTTCTCTTGCTCGGTCTTACTGAAGATCTGTTTGTCATGTCATGACGTGGCTGAATTACATTACGAGTCTTGATAACTCTCGTCTCTAAAGCCATGTTGCACGCGGATGCTACTTGGTAGTGTTTAAAAAATACGACGGAAATAAGATGCTGATGAGCTACTACTCCAACCTAAGCCTCAGGTCCTTAGGCCCTTGGGTATAGCATAGCAACTTGCTCCCATGCTTACTCGGTCTTGATAACCGAGTGCATCATCAGATGGCTGTACGCGTATAGAAATGACCGAGCTTATGTGCAGCCTATATGCAGCTTATAATCTAACAGAGCCTCTCTGCTGCGTTACCCCAACTACACTGCCACTTCCGGGCTGCGGGACGTGTTGTTTGGTGATAGCGACATGCTTACCAACAACAAGACAACGTGGCCGAGTGGTTAAGGCGATGCCCTGCTATCTCTATGAGACATCATAGGCATTGTGTTCGCACGCGTAGGTTCGAATCCTGCCGTTGTCGACTTTCTTTTTGCGTCTTGTCATTAGGAGTGTCCGAGTTGATCAACAAGGTGTGATGCTGAAATAGCTACTGTGGACAAGATACGCAGAATGGATGGATATTATTTGAGTGAAGATAACTTCACTATGCCTGATACAAGTGCAAAGAGATAGAAAGTAAAGTCAGATGCGTATGGATCCCTGCTTATAATTATGCTTCATCTACATGTAGGTTATGGTAGCAATAGACGTTATAGCTGATACCCGAGTTTCAATATGAAGAACAAGGTTTCGATAACATGCAATGCAACTCAATCGTAGATCAACTGTAAACCCATTTAACAACTGCGACTTGTGATTCTCATCTGCAATTAGTTATGCAATTGAACAGTGACATTGGCTGGGACTTGAGTTATTCGACTGTTGATGTCTAACAGCCAATACACTAAGAATAATATATCCCCAGATCTGAAGTCGCTCTTTTATCCCTAAGACAACGTGGCCGAGTGGTTAAGGCGATGCCCTGCTATCTCTATGAGACATCTTAGGCATTGTATTCGTACGCGTAGGTTCGAATCCTGCCGTTGTCGGATATTTTTGCCTTTGAGACGAGTAGGTTCTCTCTTTTTGCGGTGCATTCTCGTCATAGTGCGTGAAAGGCCATCAAATCGCTAGTTCCGATAGGTGTATTATCTTATTGGAGATGTTTTATTCTAAGGGATTATAACACTAATAAAGGGAAAAAGAACAGGGCAAATCCAAAGAAAGGCGGTCAGTCGTCTTGCTCCTCATTTGACCTTTGAGTCTATGAGGTTCCACGATCTAATCAGAGATTGATAAGAACAAGCGGCGGGAGCTTATTTCTTAGGCATGAATGGAATGAAAGATCCCGGCCGGCAATTACATTACGAACAGCGACGGAACATTTGTAAGATAATCTTGCCCTTGACTAATCAGTAGCGAAAACCGGAATTAATTCCAACTGACCGACATGGAACTGTTGCCGAGATGAAAGGGACCATGTTGGAAATCCCCCGCCGAGAATGTCACTGTGATTCCTATCTCGATAGTCGTTGGCTGGAATGGGAAGTCCGGAAGCACTTGTCATATTCCTTGTTTAGAAGTATTCCAGAAGTTGAATTTACACCGCGTCATGTATACAGTCTGTTAGATCATCTACAAACTCAACTTGGGTATAGACCGACCTTAAGTTGACTGTGCCTCAATGACTACGTAATGCCGTATCTGTCAAACTCAAATAAACACCTGATAGTTTATTAGTTAGCCTAAAGGAAAACTTTAATAAATGGGATCTTAAGTTGTATCCGAGTGGGATAGTGACTACACAGACCAGAAGCTAGAGCAACAGAGTGACCTCTTTTCTCCCTCTTTTTCATTTAGATAAAAAAAAGAGGATCCCAAAATGGTGAAACAGGCACATTTTTCGCTGCAATCCAAGGACGAGGACACAAGCACAGACAATTTAGGTGCAACAGTGGGTTTGCCTCATGACATGGGTTTGTTATGTGAGCATTAGTGATCAAAGATTAGAGACTCTCGGTTTGGGATAATGGCCGAGACTTACTTGCCAATAGAGGGAGGGAATGACATTGTTCTAAGCTTAAAACATGGTCAAACTATCTAGAGGCCAAGGGGTAAATGAATGTTTTGTTTATGCAAAGCAAAGCTGAGAAACGCTTCATGTCTTGTATAGAGTAAACGAGGCGTTGATTTATTGCCCGGCTAAACGTTGACAACGGTCTCTCCCGTCTTCAAACTTATTTACTAATTACTGTATTTAGGTTATTAATTAACGCATCCACTGTAGGTGCTGTCGTAAATCATAGTACCAACAACCCTAGGGAACTATCACCCTGGCCTGTCTAGAATAGGTAAGTAGGTAGTTAGCATTGCTACTGTACTCCATCGTCTCCAGCCAAGCTTGGGGTATCGGACGAATTCATAACCGATGGAATTAAGATGCCAAGATGTGACAAAGTAACGTCTGCCAACTACTACCTACTTGATTCTGCCAAAGGAACAAGACATAACAGGAATGTGCTGAATGATAACCAAGTACTAGTATAGTATAATCATACTGTGGGCTCCATTCCATCTCCAAAGGATTATATCCACCATACATGAATCCAACTTTGATCCTCTACACCTGTTACTGAAACAGAGCAGATAGATAACAAGAATCCATAACGGAAGAAAAAGGAAAAAGAGAAACAAATTATCCAGTGGATACAAGCCCTATCTTTCTTGCCTTACTATGGCATTAAACTTTACCAGGAGGTCTTGCCAATGTCGCACTAACAAACATCATCCATCAATCCCATCGCACCCCAAGTCCCCAAGACCCAGGGAACCAACTTGGCTACCTACAACCTTGTAAAACCCGTTTTACGGTCCGATTTGACTTGAATGAACTAGATATGACAAGATATCCCTGGAAAGCGGTAAACTTAAAAAGAGCCGCCTCGCCCGCTTGATCATCACTTGTACTACTCTCCAACCAAGACAAATACATTCGTTTCTCCCACTTTATACACTCCTTCTTTTCTCTCTACACACACATCACTCTCTTTCACTCATATATCCATCTTGAAGATATCCCACCATGCGTAGCCAAATCCTCGCCTCCGCCCTCATCTCGGGGGCCATGGCTGCTCGTCCTTTCCTCGAGCAGCCCGACACTGGTCTCGAGATGGTCCTTGGAGATCTCCCCAAGGGCGAACTCCCTAAGCTCGACCAGATGATCGGCCTCCCCGACTTCGAGTGGGCTGCCCAGAACTACCTCCCTATCGAGAACTACACCTACTACCGCAACGGTGCCGCTGGCGAGTGGTCCTACCGCAACAACCTCGAGGTCTTCCAGCGCTACCGCTTCAAGCCCCGTACTATGGTTGATATCACAAACATCGAGAGCACTCTGCCTACCACCATCCTAGGCCACAACTTCTCTGCTCCCTTCTTCATCAGCCCCTGCGCCAGGGCTGGCAATGCTCACCCTGACGCTGAGAAGAACTTTGTCAAGGGTGCTGCCGAGGGTGACATCCTTTACATGCCCGCTCTCTATGCCTCTCTCTCCATTGAGGAGATTGCCAAGGCCAAGGCTGAGGGCCAGGTCGTCTTCCAGCAGCTCTACCTGTCTTCCAACGACACTGAGACCCAGGAGCTCCTCGACCGCTCCGAGAAGGCCGGCGCTGCCGCCATCATCTTCACTGTCGACTCTGCCGCCGACGGAAACCGTCACCGCGCTGCTCGCTTCGGTGTTGGCTCTGCCGACTCCGACTACTCCTACATCACCTGGGACTACTACAAGAAGCTCCAGAAGATGACCAAGCTGCCCGTTATCATCAAGGGTATTGGCTCTGCCCAGGACGCCAAGCTCGCTGTCCAGCACGGTGCTCCCGCCATCATCCTCTCCAACCACGGTGGTCGTCAGCTCGACGGCAGCCCTTCCGGTCTTGAGGTCGCTCTTGAGATCCACGAGGAGGCCCCTGAGGTCTTCAAGAAGATCGAGGTTTACGCTGATGGTGGTGTCCGTTACGGTGCTGATGTTCTCAAGCTTCTGTCTCTCGGTGTCAAGGCTGTTGGTCTCGGCCGCCCCTTCATGTACGCCAACGTCTTTGGTGTTGATGGTGTCAAGAAGGTCATCGACATTCTCAAGCACGAGATTGCCATTGATGCTGGTAACTTGGGTGTCCCTGATCTCCATAAGATCAACCCTAGCTATGTAAGTTGTCCTATTAATTCATATTGTCGTGTCAATTGCTAACATCCTTTTCCAGGTCAAGTGGAAGTTCAACAACTGGGGCCAGTAAATATTGCATAGCGCTGGGCGTTGATCAGTGATACCTGTACATACAAATTATCTTGATTCAAGTGTTTATATTTTTATTTCATATAGAGAACAAAGAAGAAGGCACAAAGCCTATTGATGACCTAAACCACAACGAATGTGCCTTTTCAATGATACAAGTGATGTCTGTTTTGTATTATTGTTGTTATAATTCCACAGTGACAGCCTACCTTTCCTGCATCTTATCAGTGGCTCTCGGGCGAAGGGAACAGTTATAAGAGGGATATAGGATGTAACTCTTGACAACTGGCAACCTTAACAACCCGAGTATTGCACAAGCTCATGGAACTGCCTCATTCGTCGAAATGCAGAACATGCATCATGCAGACTCAGCTTTGAAACATGCAAGGCGTCGTCTATTCTGCAACAAGATGGAGCCATTCATCCTCCCGTCTTGGCGAAAACAAAGATATATCGTACTATATCTCAGCTTAATCGACTAGGAGAGTGTCAGGATATTAAGCATAGTTCAGTTAGTTGCTTCTAATCTGATAGCCTAATTGATCTCTTGAGCTGAAAAAACTGAGCTGAAAATGGCAAGTCTTTAGTATTCCTTCTTACATCTACTATTATCTTATCCCGGCTCCGATCCGGCTGACCCCGGTCCTCTCCCGACTCCAGCCGGAGCGGATGCCCGGAACCAACGATATTCCCTGTTGCTTCAACACCAAAAAGAAAACATAACACAATAGAGTACATAACATGCTCTCAGCTGAGGATCTAGACGTGTATCCTGGTCTGTTTTGACTCAAAGCTCCAATCTCTTGCATCTACCCATGCCCTAAGAACCAATACTATGATTCAGGTGGAACAAAAGGACTCTCAGCTGTCATGTCTTGCAGCTGTTCAACATGGATCACCTATACAACTCATGTGGCGGAATGTCTGCAGTTGCCGCCTGGTAGGATTGACTATACAAAAATGAGTTATAAATACTCATGTCTGTTCCGAGATCAGGACCAGCTGTATTCTCTTTCTTTGGTTTGGCCTCTGTCACTCAGTTCTTCTCTTTATCTTCTTGACCAGATCACTTATAACACCCCTGTCGATTGTGCTTGACCGGTATACCTCCACAAATATCACACATCAACCTCACTATGCCTGGTTCAATCAAATCCATCAAGCGTAAGCCTACAGCCAAGTCAGCTGCCAAACGCATCGGTCGAATGTTCAAGCGTACAAACAGCGAAGACCCAGAGATGACCGCTGCTATGGACACTGGCTCTCCCAAAGCCTCTTTCGATGTACCGCGGCCTTCCACATCTTCCCGGTTCTCTATAAGCTCGCGTATGACCTCAAGGGATGACGCTGAAGCAACCCCTCGAGGCTCAAAGGATCAGTCTCGAGTCTTTGCATCGTGGTTTGATCCTACCACACCCAAGAAAGAAAAGGGGCCTGAAGCAATAGCTCCACCACCTCTGGTTTCTAATTACTCTGAGCCTATACTCGAACATGTCAAACCACTCGAGCCTATGGTGCCAGTTGAACCCACTGGGACGCCTCAGACCGAAGGATTTCCCTTTCCTGCACCTCTGCAGACTAGTAAAGAGCAAAAGACGATCGATATTGTTCCCGAGAAGCAGACCGAGCCTCTGCGGCAACTGGAGAACCCCAACAAGAAGATCGAGGAACAACCCGCTGTGACGCCTATACCCCTACAGGCGAATCGACCTTTGCCATCTCCGCCTGTAACAAAGCCTGCGATATACGAGCCGCCCGAGTCCCCGATTCTTCCGGCTGTATCTAAAGAGGAGCCTAAGCAGAAGCCTAGCCATGCCCCTACGAATGAACCAAAGACCATCCTCGAGGCAAAATTTGAACACGAACAAGAGAACATTACTCAACCCAAGCCGGCTGCTGAGACCAGACCCAAGGCCGAACCAGCTGAGCAGCGAGACATCCTACCTCCGAAGAAGAAGCGTACCTTAAAGCCCCCAGCTCTTCCAGTACAAGTGCCAACGTCAAGCACCACGCGTGTCAGGAAGTCTTCAATGCCTCGGCCCACGGTGGAAGATGAGCCAGAACCTGTGAAGCTCGTCGAAGAACCTAAAGAACATCCTAGGAAAGATCACAAGACTGAACCAAGAAACCTGTCGTCAAAGCCCCCCCAAAAAGAAACAAAGGCAAAGGCTCAGCTCCCAGTCATCTTAGAGAAGCAAGTCCCTGCCCCTGTTGTACCTGAAGCTATCCGCAAGCATGCAGAATTGAAGAATTCCCCCAAGGCCTCCGCTACACCAATAGTTCCACCTGCGGCCAAGATATCTTCTGTCTCAGCACCGGCTCCTTCATCTGTCCCCAAAGCAGCCAGGTTTACTGCAAAACACTCTTTCACCCCCAGCATATCATTTCAGCCCTCACGGATAGTGTATTACCCTGACACTGCCCCAGCTCCCAAGATAGCTCGCCCTCCTATTACCGCACAAGCCCCGATCATCGCTTCGAGACCTGAAGTCGTCGTCTCGATGCTCACTCGTGCAGCTCCCAAGTCTGCGCCAGCTCCAAGCATTGCTTCGACTCCAGTGCGGGCTCATTCTCCATTGACTTCGTGGATCATGTCATCTGCATAGTGGCGATTCTCCAAGAGGGCTTTTATGTCTGTTTCATTTGTGTTATGATATGATGAAGGATTGGAATACACGGGCTATGTAATTATGTTAAGCTGATACAGAATGGACATTATTGTCAGCTATAGACTGTTTCGATATGTGGATTGAAAGTGCAACTTTTTGTGTAAGTGATGCTGAACCACAATGGTGGTAACCCCCACGGCTATGGAGTCATAAATATTCGAGAGATACTGATGATCTTGCTTGCTACGTGACGAGAGCGAAGGAAGCTCTAGATAGCCCACGATTAATCAGACTGTTCCGACACAGGCTTGACTAGTCACGCAGTGGGAAACAAAAGGCCGTCAACATCGTCATATTCAAACCTACATTCAAGCCTAGGACTGACCTATCACACCTCTGACCACCCCCCGGGACCAAAATGATCGATTGAGTATATTCCTGAATCCTCCGTGGCATGGGTCTAATCCTCCCATAGCCATCGCTCGTAAACGCCAGCTGTAAAGAAATCATACCAAGGAAAATACATATCTAAGCATACTCCACCGCATCACCTCCTCGACGTTCTCCAAACAGATATGCCGCTTCGAGACAGAAACGACCATGTCCTCTCTCCATACGTCTCTCGCTACCGTAACAGATCAGAACCGCATCCACAATACCACTCAAGATGCCTTCCATCGCTCCCATGACAGAATATCCAATAAAACTTGCCATCATGCCAACAACATATGCGTAAGCAGAACCTCGCATACCGACGCCGTCTGGTAGTTGGATCTTAAGCTGTTTGGCGGTTATCACCCATCCTGCAAAACCAAGACCGGTCGCCATAATAAGTCGGGTTGCTACAAGAAGCAGTTTGGCTAGTCGGTATGGCAATAGACCGTTAGGTTGTCCGCGGTTGCGCAAAACTCGAGGTGTCAACGTTGTCGTTGGTACTGCTGGGGAAACCAGTTCCATCTGATCCAATCCTCTGGCGGAAGTCGCGAGGCTTTGTGAGTGGATGGCAGAGTAAGTAATGGTCAAGGGATTCATGAGGGCAATGACAGGGGTAGGGATCCAAAACGAGGCGATGTTGGTCACAGCAGCACCGAGCTTCCTGGGCAGAAAGATCAGTGGCGCTCGAATCAAGAGAGACAAAAGAGTCGACTCGCAAAGGCTTCCAAAGATCGTCGTAAGTGCGTGATTGAGAGCAGCCGAAACAATCTCTCGCGATGGCGTGGCAGGGCCGGCATTGCGGTGGAAGTACCATTGTGATACAGTGGCAGCCGTGGTCGCGCGATGAACAGCATTTATGACAGAAACAGTCCACATATACAAGAAGATGAAGGCAGCCCCGAGCCACCAACTCGATAACTGAATCACGAATTTCACGAGACTCTTGGAGAAATAACCACCCATGAAGACCCTGGTGAACATGGCAAGCCATGCCCAAGTCCAGAGTACAATCAAGGCCAAACACCCAAATCCAACGATCAGCAGCGCTGAATTCTGGGCCAGGATGCGGCTTGAAAACTGGAGAATCTCAATCGCCTGCTGGATAGCTCGTCGCCCTCGCACGACAAGCCAAACCCAGAGTATGCATGCAGCAGCGGGAACGATCGAAGCCCATCTCATGACGGAATCCTGGATACTGGTTCCGTGGGTGCGACCCTTGAAGGATGACACAAAGGAGTAGAGTGAAAAGGAAAACAAAATGACGGGCACCGCAACCAAAATGACGCTGACCAGAGGCCGCACAAAGGAGCGGAGGGCCGCCAACCAAATGAACGATACAAATACAGCCACTACTGTATCTACCGCAAGCATGTGAAATGACTTCTGCAGTGTTATGTAAATCGTATCACCAACAGGGCTTTTCCGTGGTGATGTATGAAGCCAGACCATAAAGTATGTCGACATCATGCCGGCAAGAGCGATAAGGAAGATCCAGGCGAAGAAGGGATCGTGCCGAAATATTTCGCCCTCGATGTATTGGATAGTTGTCTGTGCATGCTCCTCTTGAGGAGGGGCATCTCGTCGCATGCTGGCTTCAGTTTCCGTGGTGGACTCCCGTCTTGCCATAAAAGGTGTTCGTTCCGTGTCTGTGCCTTTAAACCGCTGGAAAGCCGGAGGGCTGCTATCGCGAGGAGTTTCCCCTCCTAGCAGTGAAGCTGGAGGGTCCTCATCTGGATCTTCTTGCGACTCGAGTCCAACGTCGACCATCCTGCCCTTGGTATCTGTTCGACTGCTTGTCCGATCGTCGCTTGAACGGGATTCATCTTCGGCTTCTTCCACCAAGGTATCTCTCGCCAAACCGCGACGATGGGTACTTCTAGTTCCATTCCAGCTGCTTCGAATACCGCGGCGCATGCTCATGTCTTGATAAGGGTCCTCGTGGTTTAAACTGTCTTCCATAGATCCGCGGCTGTGAGCGTCTGATTCAACACTATCGGCAAGTTTGCTCGCTGCTGCTACTCGTCTTGACCTCTGGAGAGCGAACATGTCGGCCCTTTCCCTTTCTTCCTCATCATCTTCTTCTCGGTACTCGTCCAAAGTGCTGTGAAATAAAGGTGCATCCTGTGCAGCTGATATCCGCGATGCGAAGGCTAGTTGACCGAATCGAGAACCGGCGCCGGTTTGTTGATACGGATTCCCTCGACCTAAGAAAGACCTGCTGCCTGGAACATTGCCTCGTCCTGTATCGCGCTGATTTCGTGTAGACCGCGGCGGCCAGTCTGATTGTCGTGGTGGGTTCTCGGTGTTGTCCTGGCCAAAGTTGGATAATCTAGACTGCGACTGGGCCAGGAACCTTGATGCATCTATAGATCATGTCAGTATCGCAAAACGCCGTAGATAAATAGAATAACACATACACTCCGAGAACATCTCGCCCTTTCGGCTCCTTCCACCTCACGTGCGCGTAAGCCCTCGTTTCCCAAACGCCGTTGTTGGTGTGAGATGGGATTATTGACGTGACGTAAATACTATAACAGGCAACCAGCGATATTCGTCGTGTAAGCTACACCGTATAGATGACAGGTATTCGATTTGTCGTGTCGCAAGAGATGGGCGGGGAAAATACAAAGAAGGGTTGTGAGGAGATAAAACGCTTGAAGTTAATGTTAAGGTAAAATCACGGCTGAGTTGCAGATGAATGACTGGGCTGGGTTGGATTGGACGTTTAGGTTCGAGGTACCGTATTGTACTGTCCTGCCTGCGCTGGTCATGAGGCGAGGCGGCAGATGGCAGTAGATGAACGGGGCTTATCAGCCAGCGAATGAGTCGCTGACCGATTGCATCCCCAGGCAGATCCGCTGGAGGACCCTTGTTTGTGGAGGTCGCGTCCACCTATTTTCCAATGGATGTTAGGCCACCTGGGTAGGCTACTCCACTGAAGACTAAACCTTGGACCCAGACGCCACAGGCAACCGTATGGCAGTGGGAGAGGCACACGACATGCGCCGAAGTACTGACTCTGCTCAAAGAGCGCCTGAGATACTTTCACGTGAGGTACAAAATGAATATCTATTACTATTTCATCAAGACTCAGGCAGTCCATCACTCATGCACAAGGTAGTACACCACCCAGCAATGACGGCTTCTATTGAACATGCTTGAAGACTATCTGCATTGCCACAAGTCTTACGGACTGCTTTCTCTTTAACGAGTAATCAATATCTCTTTCATTATCATCACTTTTCATTTAGCAAACTTTTTTGACTCGCATCTTGTCTATCGAGCAGACTGACTTTGCCTAGTCTTGTGACACTTGAAGATCCTTCCCAACCCTCACGCGCAAATGTTTCAACGACGATATCAGATAAAGTCACGGATGACTTCCACAACAAAGATTTTAACTAGATCAAACAATAACCATTAGATAAGGTATCATAAGATACACACTATATGTACTCAAGAACAGGACAAGAGTCATCAACTGACCAAAGTCCTAATTCACAAGGCTTACAAGGGCCCTCCTTGTGCCTTATCGCTTGATGCCCCTTGCGTCACCGATGCTAAGAAATCTCCTAAACCCCATTCGGAGACGAGCTTCTAGGCATGACATGGGGTTTACTCCTACTGATATGATGCTGCTGCTTGTATCCGAGAGGTTAGTTATTCAGCCATCGACTTGATCTTGTTGAGGTTTGACCGTCGCGTTGTACAATTCATACCCGTCCAGTCTGGCCAGTCCTAGTCCAGCTGTAAAGTGGCTTGTGACAGCTCATCGTCCGTCCAGAACCTCAAAACCATCAGTCGAGTCGTTCGTTTTGTCTCTCCAACACCTGACCTTTCTTCCCTCCAACCGTCTGGAATACTCGGCCTTATCTGCCTTTAGTTTGAGTTTCAAACTCTTTGGTAAAGTTTTGTTGCTTGAACTTCGTCTCCATTTTACGTTTCGTTCTCATTTGGGAACTACCACCATTTAACTCTATCCCTGCCCTTTATAAGGTTGCCAGCCCACTCGAAACACCTCGCAGATCAAACTTACCAAGCCTGGGTCAACTCTAAAATTCTACCATTTATAAACCCATTCATCTTCATTGCCTGTCGCATCTAAAAAACGTCAGCATCGCGAAACTCATCATTCCTCACACCTGGAGAATACCTCGGTTTTCACCTCGTACAACCCCAAAGGACAACTAGCACGTGCTTGATTTGTCTTAGCTTGAGCAAATCGAATCCATCGAGTAGCTCGCTTTCTCCTGTCAACGAACTTCTTACTACTACCACCCAATTTCCGTTGAAACCCATTCAGTCTCTTCCCATGTCGACCACACCGTGGGATTATATCGCCAAACTCGTCTGCATCGGCGACTCAGGATGCGGCAAGTCCAGTCTCACTATTCGCCTCTGTGAAGGCCGCTTTTCGCCCCATCACGACGTCACTATCGGTGTTGAATTCGGCTCGCGCATCGTCCCTGTCGGTCCTCCCCACTCGAAACCCGGTGCCCTCGCTGCCTCAGATGGCGAAGATAAAGGCCAGGAGACATCAGACGGGCTCCCCGAACCTCCACGGGACGCCTCCAACACACCTCAGAAGCATATGAAGCTCAGTCTCTGGGACACAGCGGGACAAGAAACATACAAGTCTGTTACCCGGTCATACTTCCGCGGCGCAAGCGGCGCGTTACTTGTCTTCGATCTTTCCCGCAAGCAGACCTTTCAACACGTCACCGACTGGCTCAATGACCTGCGACAGATCGCAGAGCCAGACATTGTAGTTATTCTGGTTGGCAACAAGGCCGATCTCACACAGCAGGAGGACAACAAGCGGGAGGTCACGCGTGAGGAGGCAGAGGAGTGGGCCAAGCGTAATGGCGTTATGGAGTACGTCGAGACGAGCGCCAAAAGTGGCGAGAATGTCGAAAAGGCTTTTATGCGTGTCGCAGAGAGAATATATAACAACATCCAGGCTGGCAAGTACGATCTTAACGACAGGAGATCCGGGGTCAAGGGCGCAGGGGCTGGTGGAAATCGCCAGGTCAAGTTGTCGGGCGACGCCAGCAAATCAACAGGAGGCATGTGCTGTTAAAAGCACAGCACAGATTGCGGCAAACTGAAGAGGAGGGAAACAGCAATCTACAGAAGCACGACGGATCATGATACCCAGTCAGCCAGCAACGTCGTCACGTCTTTATCGATCAAGTATACGAAAAGCTCAATGTGGATTGTACACAATAATGCATAATACATCGTCGGCCTTATCTTATATAGGCCACCTTGATTAAGAACCCCAGAAATGAAACTCATAGTGCATTACCGACGCAAAGTCCATTTCGTAGCTGTGTTATCTCTTCCGGCTTTGTTTCGTCTTTTCTTTTCTCCATGCTTCGCTTTGCCAACCGGCCCATGCGAGTTATCCTTTCCATGAACCCCCCAATTCTATATCCTTGCAAACATTCCCGAAACTGAATAATACAAACAGGCCTGCATGGTGGTCCATAAGGCATCTGTCTAGATCACATGCAATATGCGATCGAGAAAAAGCGATTGCTCAAATCAACAGAAATGATACATCCCTTAATCGGTGACTCGCCAGTTGTCGAACCACTTCATGTACTTGTACTCTTTGTGGGGGCCAGTCATACCCCAGCAAATAGGGATAAAGTAGATGTAGAGGCCAATGATAACAGTGTACAGGACGCCGTAAACAATGGACTTGATGGTGTTGTTGCGGTTGCGTGTGAACCAATCAATAAGGAAACCAAAGTTGAGGATGGCGAAGTAAAGAGCAGGGTAGTAGTGGTGCACGTAAGTAACACGAGCCATGATAACAAAAGGAAGGTAGTGCAAAAACCAACCAGCCAGAGGGTACAAGGCTGCGTAGTGGATGTGGTCGATCTCCTTCTCAGAGAGGTCATTAACGCCTCGCTGCCATCGAAGGATGTACCAAACAATGACCAGGCCAGCAACACCGAGAGAGGCGGTAGAACCCCAGTAGATGAGAGGATTGCCGAGAAGGAAGTACTTGACGATGTCATCACCCCAACCGCACATTCGAAGACCAACGTGGAGGAAAGGCCACTGCCACCACTTGGAAGCAAGATCGTCTTGCTTGTCAGGATCGGGAACCAGAGCGTTGTTTGAAGTCATCATAGCAACGTTCAAATGGACAAAGTCGTGGAAGAAAGGAGACTTGTAAACACCAGCCTCGGCAGGAGGAACTATATGGAATTAGCATTCATCAACAGCCTCATCACAATAAAAACTTACGCTTGTCGTTCCAGTGAGCCTCAACATTCCAGTGGGTGTAGGTGTCGCGAGGGTTGTTCTCCTTTGTGCAAGTAACCTCGATCTGCTTGAAACCCCACTGAGGCAGGTTCACGTTGCCAGCTCGGAGATAACAGCCAAGAACCTCATGCTTGAGACGGAAAGCGGTGGTGAGAGTGCGGATCTTGCTGCGGTCACGAGAGGCAGTGTCACGGATAACCTCGACCTTCCAGTGGTCCTTTTCGTCACCAACAGTTAGATTACCGTAACTGGAAACCTCCTTGTGGCCTCGTGAGATGGGAGCAGCAATGTCGTGGGAGTGCAGGTTGCGGCCGGTCTGAGCATGGATAAGTCGGATAACAGAGTTATCGCCAATGAATCGGAGATCACCCTCGGGGCTGTAATCCTCCTCCCGACGGTTAGGGTAAAAGAACCAATCGTTGTTGGTGTCCTTGTGGTGGTAGCAAGTAACCTGCTGCTGCTTGGAACCCTCAGGGTAAGTCTGGACGTGAGAGTGAAGAAGGCCACCGCCATAACCCATGTTCTTGATGGTTGCGCGAGAACCAATTGCGATTTCCAGAGGGCTGTCCTTTCCGACCTGGGTACCCTTGAGGTTGGCTTGGAAAAGGGAGCTCATCTGAGCGTCACCAGGACCACTGCGGTCGAGGATGGCGAAGTGCAGGGCGAAAGACAGGAGGTAGATCAGGAAAGGAATAACGATAAGACCGACAACACGGGTGACGACATGCGCACCAAGAGTTGTCTATAGGTTGTTAGCGATGGAGAGAACAGATGGATTACGAAATAACTTACAACAGGCATCTTGGTGTCACCAAACTTTCGCCAGAGATCCTCGATAGTGTAGAGACCAACAAGAGCAGTAACGAAGAGACCGACAAGCTTGACACTGCAGACACAACCAATGCTGAGACCAGTCATGAACAGCCAGAAGAACCACTCGGGGTCGAAGCTGTTGTTGCGTTGGTTGTGGAACTTGGACCAGCAGAACACAGTGGCTACAGTACCGCAGAGAAGCATAGAATCAAGCAGAATAAATCGGCTGATGGTGGTATAGGAGTTCTCGCAAAGAACCATGAGAGTCACAAGCCAGACAGCAGGACGTCGAAGCTTGAGTTCGCGAGCAGTGAAGTAGGCCAGAGGAATACAGAGAATACCGAAAGCGGCGTTGAAGATACGCATGATGGTATAGTTGACTTCGGCAGGGTATTTCTCACCAGACTTGAATTCGAAGGTTCCGTTGTAGCCAGCGAGGACTCCGGAGAGACCAACGAGCATCTTGCCGAGAGGAGGGTGAACATCGAAGTAGTACTCATGCTTGATATAGTAAGAACCGAACTTGCCGAAACTGCAAGATGTTAACACGAGTTTCCAAGACGTGGGGAAGTCAATCCGACATACTGAGCTTCGTCCCATGTCACAATGTTGCTGATACCAATCTTGTATAGTCGAGTGAAAAGAGCCAGGAGTGTAAAGACCAGCGGGGCAATGACGACCTCCCATCGATCGAGGGTCTGGAGGAACGAAGGCTCCTACGTGGCAGTTAGTATTGACAAAACTCAATTCGTTGGTGGTGGTAGTAATACCTTCTTAACGAGCTTCTTGTTGTCCTCGGGCTGAGGAGCTGGGGGCTGCAAGTTGGCTTGTCCAACAACGGGACGCTGTCTGAGACCATCGCCCAGATCAGCGCCTGAGGCGACGGCGGCCTTGTCGGCGGCGGCCATGATTGATTATCGTATATGATGTCGGCTCGAGGTCGAGGTCGTGGTCGTGGTGTTTGTAGAAAGGATGTAAGATGGAAACCAAAAGGGGTGTGGTGGGCGAAGCTCGCCGAGAGGGAGAGGGAAAAAGATTGGACGAGCTGTCGAGACTCAAGGGAGGAACACCAGCTTCAACCAAGGAGCTGTTGCCAATTCGGAGAGGGGAAAGCCTGATTGGCAAAAATCTGTGAATGAAAAAAACAACACAGATTAGAAAAACGAATAGGAGTCAGAAAAGAAAGAGACAAAAAGAATATCTTGAGCCAAAGGACCTGGCGTTTCGTGGTTCTAAGAATATTGCTACACGAACGACTGTCTGTCCCCTGAAATGCCACATATGCTCTACTGATCACGCTAAACAGCTGCTCCCGTACATTCTTTCCCGTGGCGTCAGCTACGGGCCAGTCGATAGCACCCCACTTCAGCCTGGCCCAAGCCCAGGCCTTTCAGCTCCCATGTCCGTTTTCGATAGCGGCGTTGCACCAAATGTTTTAGGGGCAATCACCAGCAAGGATCGTTCCAGTAAACAGTGGCATCTGCTGTGAGCTGTGTTCGTTCAATGACATCTACCCATCGTGGGCAAAAAACCTCATCGAAAACCGAGGTCGCGTGGCCCAATGGCAAGGCGTCTGACTACGAATCAGAAGATTCTGGGTTCGATCCCCAGCGTGATCATTTCTTTTTGCCTATTTTCGATCTCTTTTGGTTATGAAGTTTTTGCTTCAGGTTCGCCAATGTTTCCACTGGGGGTACAATCAATGTTCCGAAAAGCAGCCATGTAAGTATTGAGTAGAGTCGTAAACACAAGCCGGCATCATGTACAGAGTAGGTACTAAGATTGGATCACATTCAGACAACATCATTGTATTGAGCTACCAGTTTTCAACGCAGCCACGCAAGCCCATGGCTACTGGGCGCTATCCATGATGTTTCTTCTTGTTTGCGTATATTGTTGACGGCAGAGACACATGCCAATGTCTGAAAGCCATGGACCCACGGGTTTCGGCATGTATGACCGCGAAACCGGATCTCCGGGTACGTGACGTTTCTTGGGGCATATTAGGTAAAATCCGTTTACTTTTACCAGTATTGCTTGTATCACAATATTACACAATATTGGTATTACCCTTTCCTCACTTACGAATAATCTATCAAGCTTAGACTTAAAGGGGATATATACCGGCAATGGTCTGGCCTCGTAAAAGACCCTGCTCATACTGCGCCGTACTCGTACAGCTGGCTCAAGCGATCACTTGAATCTTGACCGCCAATTTCGATAGATATTCTCATTTTAGGTTTGTTTTTCCCTATTCCATGGTGCTGTGTGTCGTTCAGTTTCCCCACCAATGTCACTCTACATCCGAATCCTCGACTGATTCAGGTTGCGACAACATGCGATTTTGATCGCTCCCGTAACCGGAGCTAGGAAACTTAGTGGCTTTACTGCAAACAATGTGAATTTCACATTGAGTTTGTTTGTCCGTATTCGAGTCTATTGCAAATGCAATAACCTCTCTTTATTATCATCATATGACCTTGCGAGCTATTGTTACTCCAGCACAGTCACATGCAAAAAGCGGTCCCTTTCACTCCCACTTTCGCCTCCCCCTTCTCAGCATCACTCCGCTATCCGGGAAACTCCACTACATCAATGTCACTGGCGACAAAATCGCCTTATGTCATCCACTCAAGCCGTCTTCAAAGCTCAAGCTAGACCAGAGACGCCGGTAGACTCTCTGCTTTCTCCAGTCTCTCGTCATCCCGAGGTGTTAGACCCATGTGTGCCGTTACTCCTCTTTGGTTACAATATTACGACAGCTTGACTCTGACATTCTCAGGTTACCTCTTCTTTCACTGTCGTTCCTACCCTCCGTTTGGCTGCACTGTATCAACTCCGGCGCAATCATCAATACGTCTACTTTAGTGCGCCCGTACAGTATCGCTACCTACTATCAATCGGACCTGATTGCCGCTCAGGCTCTCCCCTCTCTTGATTTAACCTTTCAAGCCTCCGGTGCTACTTACCTACCTGCCTGCTTGATGTCTTCCCTCGTCTCCGACTTTCTCATCAATCCTGTCCTGCGCCAAGCTCGTCGATTCTCCGAAATTTCACGATCTACCTTCATTGGCAATGGAGGCGACTCGATCGAACATGCCGACGCAGTAAGCGATTCTAGTCACGCCGACAGTCCTGTCTCTTCGCCTGTATCTACATCCGCACCCGACGCGGCACCCGTGCCGATCGTTGACTCTCCCCTCACTCGACCCCTCAGCGTCTCGACCTTAGAAACAAGAGTTGAAGAACCCGAGCAAGTGCCAACCATGTCTCAAGATTCACCCCCACGCGACCATATCGGAATAGCTCTGAGCCCGCTCAGCTCCCGTCGAATTCCGGAAGATGATGGCATGCGAGAGTTGCGCTCTCGTATACATATAATCAACGGCAAGGATATACCTCAGTCTGAAAAGGCGAGGTTAATCCACGATGTTCTGTTGGAAGGATATACGTCTTCAAAGGCCGTTCCCATTGTCAAAAAGATTCTCGAGAATGGCGGCAACTTAGACCAACCACTCTCGCAATCTCCATTGTCACCAGCGTCACGCCCGTCCATGTTCTGGCAGAATCAACCCGAGGAAGAGACATTCACCTTGACAGAAGAGGATAAAACCCCAACATTTGTACCAGTGAAGCCGCCGAAGCGACATGGCAGTGAGACGCCAGTGGAGCCTTTTGATGTGCTACAAGAATCGGAGCAGCCTCTTGGATGCCAACACTATGAACGGAACGTCAAGCTCCAATGCTTTACCTGCAAGAAATGGTACACGTGCCGTTTCTGTCACGATGCGAACGAGGACCATAATCTCATTCGTACAGAGACCAAAAATATGCTCTGTATGCTTTGCACAACACCGCAGAAGGCTTCGGATATGTGCATTAAGTGCGGTGAACTATCCGCTTATTATTATTGTGATATTTGCCATTTGTGGGAAAACCGCCAAAGCAAGCCCATCTATCATTGTAACGACTGTGGCATTTGCCGTCGAGGCATGGGTCTTGGCAAGGACTTTTTCCATTGCAAGGTGAGAAGGCAGCTATGGCCTATATAATACTGATTACTGACGCTGGTTAGACTTGTCGTGCATGTATTTCTACCTCGATTGAGGGCTCCCACAAGTGTATTGAGCGGTCAACAGAATGTGACTGTCCTATCTGCGGCGAATACCTCTTTACTTCTCCACGGCCTGTAGTCTTCATGCCTTGTGGTCATAGTATCCATAAGAAGTGCTATGAACAACATATGAAAGTATCATACAAATGTCCGATTTGCAACAAGAGCCTTACGAATATGGAAAGCCAGTTCCGAAATCTGGATGTTGCCATCCAGACTCAGCCGATGCCACCAGAGTTCCGGGATACCACCGCCGTTATATTATGCAACGACTGCTCTGGAAGAAGCACAGTTAGGTATCACTGGCTAGGTCTGAAATGTTCCATATGTCGATCGTATAATACAGTGGAGCTGAATATCATTGGGGGTGACCGGTCGACAGCACCACCATCTATGAACGACGAGGGGCAGCCCGTGGTGGAAAGTGGACGAGAGCCTTCCGGTTCAATCAGCGGCAACCGAGGGGTCGCAGTAGGAAATAGGCGAAGGCATTCATCTCATGCGGCTGAGACCCAATTTCGTGCGCCTGACAGAGTCGCAAGATCTGTATCACCCGGCAATTTGGGCTTTGATTCCATCATGTCGCATCTACCACCTAACGAAGAAGACGAGGATGACATTTTAGGGCTCTGGAGAAGCCGAAACCGTGCCAACGCGTCGGATAATGACGAGGATTCTGAGCTGGACGACCTCAGCGATGCACCATCTGATGCTGAAGAAGAGGATGATGATGAAGACGACGATAACGATATCGTTCTTTTTGGACATCGATAAGTGTTCCTTTGCATCACAGATTGATGCTATCACACGACTATGCAACCGGATTGGGTTGAATTTCTGCAAGGCGTTTTGGGGGAATGGGTGCATCAACCTGGGCGAGAGATACTAGTTGGAGACCGCTTGACTACGTGTTTATGAGTGGACATGGAACAGGTGGCTTGCATCTTGGGCGCTCAGTTTTTTGTTGGTGATCTCCGTGTTTGAAATTGGATCCAACGGGTAGCATGGCTTTTTGTATACATAAACGTGGATGAATTCTGTACCAAACTCCCTATTCAGACCGATTGTGACTTCGTCTGTGACTACAAAATGAAACGCAATATCTCGTGAACGCCTGCCATAACCGTGTTTCCATGTGTCTCGTGTCCAGCTGTTGTCAAAACTATTTCAAGTCCATAAACTTGAGCGCATCAGCGCCTTCTCGCTGCAGCGGCAGGCTGATCTAGCCGCTGTCCCTCTTGTCTGAGTTCCTTGATGACTTGCTATATGCGCACGACACTCATCAATATAAACTACGATGTCATTGAATACGATCATAACATACCGCCAAGGCCTCTGGGTTCACACCACGCTCAATCATAGAGATGCAGATAGACAGAGTGCGACGATCAAGATGGCAGTTCTGTAATAGCACAAGTTAGCGGTCGACAATAATAATGGTTGTACAATGAGCAAGCTATCGTACCAGAATTGTAGATATCTCATGAAGAATATCCACGGCCTGTTGCGCGGCAGCGTGTTTATCGGGTTCGGGCATGATGGCGGTTGACTGTAGTTTGATATGGAGTGTGAAAGAGAGGGAAGTGGAGGTGGAGATTTACATTCCAGACGATCATGGCGGGGATACGCGGACGCGTGCATATCATGAAACATTCACTATAAAAATCGTGACTTGTATAAAAGAAAACACTTTAGATGAAAGTATACACATTCCTAGATAAGGCAATAGGATGGATTTTAACGATATCTTTCATTGTATCGACTCTTCATTCATTGCTGTGTATAGATTGGCAATTCTGCAGACCTATGATATATTCTTCATCGCCAAGTAAATAACAAATGATATGTAAAATAATTTCAGATTTGGGTATAATTGTCGTCATTATAAAGCATTCTCGCACATAAACGGTCATAACAGCATAATTCAATCGTCCAGTTCTTCAAGACTTCATCGCCTCCACAAACAACTCCCTCATTCCCTTGAGTAAAACCACCAACTCCCTCGTTTCATTGAGCTTATCAAGAACCCGTTCAACCTTTTCTCTCTCAATCTTGGGTCGACAGTGCTTCACATCGTAGTCGCGCGAGCTTGTCACTAGTTCAAACCAAGCTTCACGCTCCCAGTCCTTCTCGTCGACGTGCGTATACACAAATTTGAGCCGGTCGTCATGGCCGGCGCCCTCGATCTTAAGACATAGGTTGGTGATCCAAAAGTCCAGCTCGGGTACATTGAAGCGCGATTGAGACTGTTGATGCTGGGCGTACTCGCGCTGAGCTGCAAGTCGGGCATCGATCTCGGCTTGCGTCTGGGCAATTTCCGCCTTGAGGCTATCGCGGGTGGAGAGATGGTTGTCGCGCTGAGAGGCGAGGGAGTTGATGGCGCTCTCCATCTCGCGGGTCTCGGCTTCTTCCTTCTCGATTGTCTGCTGGTGCGTTGCGGTCTTGGTCTGAACGATTTCGATATCTCGCTTTTTCATACGTTGATCCTCTGTGCAACGGTTAGCAGATATTCGATACGCTGTTGGAAAGTTAGAGGGTTATACCTTGAAGCTCAGCAACATTCATGCGAAACTGGTTTCGCTCATCCAGTACCCGCTTACGGCCCTCTTCTATGAAGGCATCGAACCGGGCCGTAAACTTTGTCATGCGATCGCGGAGGTCATCAAACCCAAAGTTGATATTGGGTAACTGGTTTGCGACAGAGGGGCCGACAGGTGGCATGCTCTGTCGCATACTGGCTGAAAAGGAGGAACGGAAGTCGGTAGCCATTGTGAGTGATTCGAATAACGATAAACAGTTTGGGGAGATTCGTTTGTCGTAAAAAGAGTGTAGTCTTGGTTATGCGAATTGGGCATTAATCTAATGCATGTGTTTGGTTACATTTACATAGTGAAATTCCGTTGCTCGGTCGACTACCAAAATGTGGCGCAAACCATGGCACCGCCACGTGGGGCCGTCGAAAGCTTCAATTCATATCGCATCGCGTAATGCAGAACAGACTCTCTTCCCAGAATTCACTTTTACTCACCGCTATCGCTGTCATATTTATGTTTTTCTGCCTGCGCTCCCGTCACTTTTCTCCCGCTTGCATATGTGAATTAGGATGCCTTTTTAGTGCTCCAAATACAATAAACTCCCGCTCGAGAATCTCTTGCGCCTATACCAGTCCATCTCGCGATGAAGAAAGGAATATCGACCAAATTTTTAACACATTGGAAATCGATACTCGGACCAAATGGCTGAGACAAGACGACTCACGGACCTGATTCACGGTCACGTAGGAAGTCTTACTTATTTACCTCCAGAAAAGGCAACAACTCAAGTTGGTACTTTTCATACCAGTCGCATTACAGCTGAAGGTGAGTTTTCAGAACAACCACTTACGCCCATTCAAAATATTAACCAAGTCTTTTCAGCACCGCACTTTAAAGTCATTGGGTCTTCAGCACAGCTGTATCCGCCTTCAAAGTCTCCATCTCCAGAAGTCTCTTCCAATCTTTGGCAGGAACGGAGAATTCAGAAACGGTGGCTTCTTCAGGCTCATCCCGAAGCCTTCATGGGCAATTCAGCCGTCTCTACGTTACTGGAAGAGAACATGAACCGCTACTCTAGGGTCGAGGGGGAAATCAGCGATCGACCCCTGCTTTCCATCGGCCAGATGACGAATGTGTCTGATCAGTGGAGAGTTGCAGGATCACCGATGCTCGCAGCTGCTACAGGAGAATCGGGAGAACTACTAAGACTGTCCCGAGTTGATCAATCAAAGTGGCAATGGGGTGCTGACAAGCACACGACACTTCAGCCCTCTGTGATTGACCCCGATGATCCCGAGGAAGAGGCCATTTGGGCCAGTGATGGCCTGCCGATTTCTCAAGTCAAATTTGCAACCAGCATGTCGCGATACGATGCCATCCGCTGGCTCGTTGTTCAGAAGCAGACCTCGACCACTATCCTTAACCCGGAGTATCACAAAATCCCAGTGGCCCAGTCATCAACCGCCGACCCCAACATTCAGCATCCTCGACTATCACGAATTGATCCCAACCCAATCATGACCATCTCACATAAGATGACCGGTGGTAATGCGCAGATGGATGTTGCTTTCAATCCGAATTCAAAAGGTCAATCACCTCAGATAGCCATCATCGACGAGTGCGGATATTGGTCCATATGGGACACCCTAGGAGGCAGGCCAAGAACACAACTATCGTCTTGTAAGTTCGGACATATTTCAGATGGGCTGTTGGACAAAATTCCCTCCATGACAGAGCATAAAGCAGAAAAACACGGGATCCTTTTTGTCGGTGCTACCGAAGTGGACAGTTTCTGGGAGGATGAATCGCAGAATGCCGACGAGTTTGAAGAGTCGGCAAAGCGGTCAAGTCATTTGTTGATATGGAACAGAGAAAAGTACGAAGTGATCGATCTTGAATCGCACATAGCTCTACCACAGCTATCACTTTTAGCTCGTCCAAAGTCCAAACCTGACGCTATTCTTGATATCAGAATCAGCCCCGCGAACCAAAATCACATCTTCGTCTTGACTATGCGGACCCTTTACTGGATTGACTTGTTTGCGACGAGAAGAGAAGAGGATTCACCATCGAAAAAACCGACCATCTTGATTTCTTGCCCCCGACTGCTGGACAGGGAGGCGCTGCGTATGACGACCTGCCTCACTACCGAAGGCAAACAACAGGCCGTTATGGTGTTTGTCTTTTCTCCGACCCACAGACAACTTGAAACATATTGGTTTGGGCATTCAAAGCAAAATGGCCTTCCATACTGGCATCGCGATGTTTTAAGTCTACCTAATGAGGGCAATGCTGTTCAAGGGGATATACAGTCACTAGAGATCCGCCCAGCCAAGCTCAGTCAAGATGGAAAGCCCTCATCTGGTCCAGGGGCTGATTATTATCGTGGAGGAGTTCAGTTCTACCAAGGGAGCATCTTGAGCAAGGATCTGGGTGTACAATATTGTATTTGTGTTTCGGTCAAGGACCGCAAAATGCAAATTACGCTACCCACTGGACGTCTAGTGCGGTCCAAGACAGACCAAGCACAGCGATGGAGGAAAAAACGCAAGCAATTTCTTCGACATATGGGCAACGCGTTTGTACTTCCAGATGGCATGACTGACAATATCAATGAGGTCGTAAAGCGTCACAGTAGATCCAACGAAACAGACACCATGAAGAATGGGGCATCTGTAGTCTTGGGGCCTGTACACCTCAAACTGGATTTCATGTGCCAACATCTCCAGCGAACTCTTATTGCTATCTCCGAGAGCGTGCACGACATTCCCCCGGCCCTTCTTTATGCTATTCAGGAGAACATTGCAGAGGGCACGGCGGAAGGACGGCTCTCTCTGAAGACTTGGAAAGAGATTGGCAGCCAAACGGGGTCCATGGATCTTTCCAGTTACAACAAAGCAGAGCTCCCGGACATACTGGACTTGTTCTTGGGCGATGATGGGCAAACAGTGGTAACACAGCTAGGAAGACAAACTTCGGAGGAGTGGATCCGAGAACTTGTCAGTTTGTCACATCTCAACCAAACGTATGTCGATCTCTGGCTTGACCCTATAGAAGGGAGGTTATCTGAAAAAGAAGAGGAAATGAGGAGAGGTTGGGTAGCAGATTTGGCCAAGGACATGTTTCTAGCAACAGCTGGTGTCATGGTTCAAGATATGCCTCTTCTAGGGACAGCAAGCCAAGGGGGGGACGAGCGACCACAGCCTACATCGAGTGCGATACGGATCAGGTCATCCCAAACATTGGATGGTGATATCCCTTCTTCGCCTCCCAGCACGACATCGAATATCACCAGCGATGCAGCAATCAGGCGATTGCAGCTTCTCGCGCCCTCGTTACAGTTGGACAAGATGGAAACTGCCAAACAGTCAAGTGTTTTGTCACGCTGGCCAACCGAGCGTGGTGTCACCACAGATGACTACATTTCTAGCGTTGCTATTGCCAGCGATAGAAAGTTTGAGGATGCAAGGTTACGACTGCAGAGGATCGAAAACAAGCGAAAGGCACACGCAGAAAAGTACAGACTGCCGCCAACTATGCGACAAGGCGGTGAATCCACACCCAAAGCCAAGAAGTCGTCGCAAATCAGGACAGGAGGACTCGGTGCACCACCACGATCTTCTCAAATGCGTCCCCAAAGAGAAGATCCTGCAGAGCTGCCGCCTATGCCAGCTCCACCAACGCCTGCGCAGTTTATGTCGAGCCAGCAGAGAATGCCCAGCTCATCTCAGAGCCAAGGCATGTTTGGGCCTGCAATTGCCATGAGCCAGCCGGTATCAGGTATTTTTGGGGATAGGAAGAAGGCCAAAAAGCCTAAGAGGAAGAGCGGATTTAGATAGACCAACGCAAACAGCCCATTCATTATTGGGGTTTGGACTAAACTCATTGCCGTTATATATCAAATCTCTAGTTGCTATCATATAATCGTAATACTGGAAAACATAGCACAATTGTTAAATATGATTTTGAAATGTCCGACTTTGCCTTTTGTAGCTGTGGTTCTATGTAATTTTCAAAGCCAAAAACAAACTTCGTCCCTCACTCATAATACAATAGCTCGTTTACTTTGTTTTCACGCAAAGAAAAGTGCTGTGAGACGCGCTGTTTGATGTTTGTTCATGATATGGACCCAATCGCTGTGGTAGGAAGGACCCAGTGCTAAAAAACGTCATTGTACTCGCTATTGGATGAGTTCACTTGACTTACAAGTTACATCAACTCAACTTTCACCCCCAACTTGAAGCCGAATTATCAAGTCTATAAACCTTGACATTTTTCGAGAAGTACACGTTTACAATAAACCACAGCTACAAATCATGTCTCACTGCCACGACGAACACTCCGGCCACGGCCATAGTCACGACCATCATGAACATGATCACTCAGACGACATCACCCCCGCCGTGCAGTTTTCACTCTACAGTCAAATCAACTTTGATCACATCGTGACTCTTAACGAAGCCACTCGCGATGTTGGGCAACAAATCGTCAAAAAGACCTGGCAGGAAAGACTGAGCACTGAGCCTGAGCTGGCGAGTGATGTCGATGAGCAACTTCTCATGACAGTACCGTAAGTGTAGGTTCTTAATGTTATACTGTATATCTTACTGACTTATACCAGTTTCACTGCCCAGATCAAGCTTCACTCAATCCTCATCCGCACATCCCCCTCCGCCTCTGCGCCCAAGACCCTGCATCTCTTCATCAACCGTGATGACCTCGACTTTGCCGCCGCTGAGGAATCAGACCCTGTGCAAACTCTCGAACTATCGCAAACAAGCGACCTACAAGAGATTCCTGTAAAGCGAGCGCTATTCGGCAAGGTGCAGCAGCTAGTACTTTTCTTTGCTGACAATTTTGGTGATGGCGACGAAGATGTCACCCGCATTTCTTACATCGGCTTCAAAGGAGAATGGACACAACTCGGAAGAGCGCCTGCCAACATTATCTACGAGGCTGCTGCTAACCCGGGTGATCATAAACTTAAGGGTACGAATGTGAATCAGATGGGAAGTGGGATCGGAGGTAGAGGGCCTGGAATGTAGCGATGAAGCAGACACTTGAGTTGCAAACCATCAAGATTAAAATTGAGAATACATAAAGAAGATCATTAATGTAAACCAATTATCAATGTCTTCTTCAAAAGAATAATATGATCAAATTTTATTAAATCACTGTGACTTGCACCAGTCGTTCTCATTCATGGCATTATTGTGCTCAATCGTGCTAGCCGGGAATTCTCCGGACCTTGCAAAAGCTATCCAGTATCTCGACTTGGCCCAAAATCTTTCACCACTATCAACCGATCCAACGCCATCCGATCGGCCACCTTAATACCCCAACCCACGACGGCATCAATTCCCTTCTCGACACTTGTCGATCTCGCCGACAGCAAACAAAATGCCTCCCCGACTGCCAATTCGTCTGGCCCTTCCCCGGCCATGCGCCGTCGCCGCCCGCCCTCTCCTCCTCCCGCTCACAGCCACTCGAGGTGTAAAGAACGGATGGACCACGGCTCCTCCTCGTAACAAGCACAAGCGATTCAACCAGCCTTCTTCTGGCCTTCCTGCCCTCACCAGCGGTCCCGCTGCTGCTCTTAAGCGAAGAGAGAACACTACGCCTCTACGATCTGGAGTTCTCGGTGTTAAGAAAGGCATGACGAGTATGTTTGTTGGAAAGACTCGTGTGCCTTGCACTGTTCTGCAGCTCGATCAGGTCCAGGTTATCGCCAACAAGACTCGAGAGAAGAACGGTTACTGGGCTGTGCAGATTGGTCAGGGTGCGCGTGACGGTCGAAACGTTACCAGCCCATTGCTGGGTTACTACGAGGCCAAGGGCATTGCACCCAAGGCTGAGCTCGCCGAGTTCAAGGTCCGAGACAAGGATGGTCTGCTGCCCGTCGGTGTTCAGATTCTGCCCGATTGGTTCAAGAAGGGCCAGTATGTCGACGTTAAGGGCCGATCGCGGGGTATGGGTTTCGCTGGTGGTATGAAGCGCCACGGCTTCTCCGGTCAGGAAGCTTCCCATGGTAACTCCAAGAACCACCGAACAATCGGTACAACAGGTCCTTCGCAAGGCAGTGGTAGTCGAGTCATGCCCGGCAAGAAGATGCCTGGTCGCATGGGTAACGAGTTCGTAACGGTACAGAACCTCAAGGTCATGATGGTGGACAACGAATTGGGAATTGTATTGGTTGGTGGACCCATTGCTGGTCCCAAGGGCCGCGTCGTCCGTATCCAGGACTCCAAGAAGCGAAAGGCTCCTCCCCAGCCTCATCGTGAGGCTGCTCTCAAGACCCTTATAGAGCGACACCCTGATCACGAGGCGAAACTCCAGGCGGCACGGGAGAAGCATCTCCAACTGAAGAGCAAGAGAGAAGAGGCACAGCTAAGAGATCAATGATTGAACCATGGAATGTATGAGACGTTTTGTACTACGTATGACAAAAGGGGGGGGATCATAAGCGGGCTTTTTGTATTATACACACACACCATCTACTACTGTACAGATTCGACTACAACCGGAGTACCCAGGGTTATCAAATTCATTTTTACAATAATGCCTTCCTCCCATGTTCGCCATGGGTATCCCACTATACCTCACTTGTATTCCACTTGCTTTCGGAATCCTCTTGTAGCAGCATCTTCCTCTAGCGGAGGCAGGTCATCCCCTCCACCACCAACAAGCGCCCTGAAAGGATCGCCGCTGTCCAAAAGATCCAGCCTCGTTCCGTCCTGCATAGTGAGACTCCATTCTGTGGTCGAGAAGAATCCCTTGCTGGTAGGTCGGTTGCTGGCAAAGCGCATAACGCCCTCGCCCTTTGTGCCGCGCACAGAGAACCAGATATCGATGCGGCCGTGCAACTGGTTCATCTCGCCATGGATCCAAGGGATCTGATGTCTGAAGTAGATCTCGTCTCCGAGAAGAGCTCGGGCCTCGGAATTGGTTCGCAGGGCGTAGAGAGTCGATGAGATGACGGGTGATGACATCTTTTGGTAGTTGAAGATGGCGACAGAGGAAGCGGCCACAATGAGGAGGAAGACGGGGAATGTGCGGCGCCAGCGGAATGTCACATCAGAGATATCTATAGAAAATTAGCGCAAATCCTTTGCTTATTTACACATTAATTGTTCGTACCTGGGAGTTCTCTGTCCGCCCTCCTCGACATCATGGGCCCATCACCGGGCTTGGGCGCGGGAGTTAACCATCTTTTTTGACCAGGTCTCAATGTGACGGTCCTGGTTTTTAGGACAGCCGCAAGTTTCCTACGGACAAGCCGAGGAAGCGCTAGTTGTTGCGACATGTTGATTTCGCTGTAGATTTCTCGTGATCGAATCAATCAATCCTAATGGTGGTCGATCAGCTGAGGCTCAATTCAATTGGATTGGTATCGGCCAAATTTTACTGCCGGTCGCCGACACTCGATGTTCTCGAAAGAGAAGGTGGGGCAAGGGCCCAGCTTATCTCTTGTGGCGTTATGACGCTGAGCCTCACTTCAAACCCGTGAACATTGTGTCCTTGTGACGACGACGTCTTATGCCACAAATAGTGTTCTTTTTTCGACAGTAGTTGTGTCATTCTTCCATTATCTGTATCTTTGTATTCTACAAGATACTTCTCACTCTAATAATCATCGTGATGCCAAATCAGCACGGTACTACCGCCCGTTTGAGGCGTACATTTCACTATCCAGAGGAGGACTCTACAGATTCACAGCCAGAAGCTCTTGATGAACAAGGTAAAGTGTCGTGAGCACAGCATACTTCGATCAAAGCTAACATAATTTCCAGAGCAAGAAGACTTCATCAATCAACTGGCCGCCGAGAATGCTGCCCGTGATGTTCAGTTCCGTCGCTTCCTCCTGGCCATTCCCCTACTCGCCACCATCCCCTACCTTCCAGCTCTCATAAACCCCCCTACAGCAATGCTGGCTCTTCTCAGCCTAACATCTCTGTTCTCAACGGCATACTTACTACACCACCAACCGCCCGCATCTTCAGGAATTCCTTTCCTTGATAACTGGGCACGGCCCAAAACTCCGCGACCCACACGCCCACCATCGCTGTCAACAAGAGACTCTTCCGGTGTCTTTGACGAAGACGATGAGGACGAGGTAGACGATGTGCCTTATGTTCCTCGTGGCCGACCACGACAGCGCAGGAGCTCATTCAGCTATGTTGAGACGCGGTCGCCGCTTGAAACTTACCTGCCTTTCCTCAATATAGGTCTAGGTGTTGTTTTGATTTTGATGGCTTGGGTAATAGGCAGAACAAAAAGCGATGCCGTGTGGCCCGGAATGGGGTACTTGCCATTGGTGGTCTATGCGATTATTTTGATTTCAAAGATGGTCATGGGCAGTGTTGACCCCGAGAAGGAGCTGGCGACGCTCAAGTATGATTACAAGGGCGCTTAACGATCCTCTACTTATTAACTCGCTTTAAATTGCACATACAGTTACTGTGGCAATTCTATCATTTTTGTGGTTTACTTTGCTTCCTTTTCTCTTCTCTATGTCCAAACCAGGCCATCGCAGTCGTTACATGGGCATGTCTCATTATAACCCCATCTACATGTCTATCGAATCGTTGAAACGCAGAATGCCGTGGCTCTTCAAAACTCCGTCAACACCCTTGGGTGGTCGCGGGAAAGGATCTGTCATAGGGCTTGCGTTGGGTGAGTCTGACGATTTGTCCGTCACCAATGCCAGTCCATGAGACTTGATAGCATCCACAAGGGCCGGTACCATTTCCTGTTGTTGGTCAGCCTTGGCTCGTGAACAGATTAATAATATTAGCGAGTTCAAGCATACCAATAATGGGGAATAACATATCAATCCCAT